ATTTCATTGATTTTTTACAGAGAGGAAGAGAGAGGGATAGAGAGTTAGAAACATCGGTCAGCTGCCTCTTGCACACCCCCTACTGAGGATGTACCCGCAACCAAGGTACATGCCCTTGACCGGAATTGAACCTGGGACCTTTCTGTCCATACACTGACACTCTATCCACTGAGCCAAACCAGTTTTGGCTAATTTATCTTTGTTATTATTGAGTTTTACAACTTCTTTATATCTTCTAGATACAAGTCCCTTATCTTCCAGATACGAGTTAAATATATGCTTTGCACATTTTTTTCTGTTCCATGGGTTGTTTTTTGCTTTCTTCCTAGTGCCCTTTGAAGCACAAAAGTTTTTAATTTTAATGATGTCCCATTCATCTGCCTTCCTTTTTATAGTTTTAACTCTTACATTTAGATCTTTGACCCATTTTGAGACAGTGCCTGTATATGCCATGAGGTAGAGGTATACTTTCATTCTTCTGCATGTGGAATCCAGTCACCCCAGCACCATTTGTCGGAGAGACTGGATTATTTTGGGGCTCTCAATGCTATTCCATTATAATACCTATATGTGTGTCTTTATGTCAGTACCACACTGTCTTGAACTTGAACTGGACCAAATTAACTGGATCTGTGGATGCGGTCAGAGCTGCTGTCCCTTTCCCTGGTGCTTCAGACGGTTCAAGGTGCTTCATACACTCAGAGCAAATGGAAGCACAGGTGGCTGAGTGGCATGTGCCTGGATCAGCCAGGGACAGTGGTGGTTCCAGGACCCACCTGTGCATCTTTCTTTCTTTCTTTCTTTCTTTCTTTCTTTCTTTCTTTCTTTCTTTCTTTCTTTCTTTCTTTCTTTCTTCCTTCCTTCCTTCCTTCCTTCCTTCCTTCCTTCCTTCCTTCCTTCCTTCCTTCCTTTCTTCCTTTTTTTAAAATATATTTTATTGATTTTTTACAGAGAGGAAGAGAGGGGAATAGAGAGTTAGAAACATCGATGAGAGAGAGTCATTGATCAGCTGCCTCTTGCACAACCCCTACTGGGATGTGCCCGCAACCAAGGTACATGCCCTTGACCGGAATCTAACCCGGGACCTTTTAGTCCACAGGCTGACGCTCTATCCACTGGGCCAAACCGGTTTCGGCCACCTGTGCATCTTTCGACTCTGGGTCAAGCACTCATTACCCTAGCCATTCACCTGCTCTTTGAGTCCAGAGATTTGGGAAAAGGAAAAGTTATTTTAAAAATTAGGGCAGCAAAAAGGAGGAAGAGTGAAAACAGACTGATTATACATGTTTGGCTCCTCACCAGCTTATGATAAATGTTTCCTTCTCCTGCTTGGACAAGAAATGGATGTTCTGGGTAATCCAGGGTTTTGCTTGAGTATTGCATTTTCGAAGAATGAGAACACAGTGAAACACTCTCAACACTAAAACCACGGGGACTATAATTTAATCTTTCATTCTGTTATTGTTGTCATTCTAGAAGACTCTTTAGTTTATGTTAGGGCAATGTTTCTTTAAGAATGGTTCAAGGAAACCCTCAGCCATCAGCATCATCTGATAGAGGTACTTGTTTTTTTTAAAATAAATTACTTTCTTTTTAAAAAAATATATTTTATTGATTTTTTACAGAGAGGAAGAGAGTTAGAAACATCGATGAGAGAGAATCATCGATCAGCTGCCTCTTGCACACACACACACTCCCCACTGGGGATGTGCCCGAAACCAAGGTACATGCCCTTGACCGAAATCAAACAGGGACCTTTCAGTCCGCAGATCGACGCTCTATCCACTGAGCCACACCGGTTTTGGCAGAGGTACTTGTCTTTAAAAAGATGCAATTTTCAGAGCCCCCATCCGCCCTGCATCTGCTGAAAGTCACGGTGATATTTAAGGCCAAGGTTTGGGAGCCATTGTTTTAGAGCAGTGACAGTCAAAGTGTGAATACCAATGGGCACTGCCCTCAGAGACACAGGCATTCTCTTAGGTGAGAGTTCTGGATAATACAACAGATCATGTACCTCGTTTCCTTCAAGTCTTTGCTAAAACATCACCCCTTCTGAATTCTCATCATTTGCAGCAACCTGGATGGAATTGGAGAACATCATGCTGAGTGAAATAAGCCAGTCAATGAAAGAGAAACACCACATGACCTCACTCATTTATGGATGATAAAGAACATTATAAACTGATGAACCAAAAGATAGATATAGAAACAGTAAAGCAACAAGCAGACTGTCAAATTACAGCAGGGAGGGTAGGGAGATCTGGGGGAGATAATAGATCAACCGAAGGACTTGTATACATGCATATAAGTACAACCAATGGACACAAAACTCTGGGGAGGGAGGGTATGTATGGGAAGGGGGGCAATGTTAAAATATGTACACAGATAATAATTTAATAAAATAATGAAAAAAATAAAATAATAAAAAAACATCACCCCTTCCTGTGAGAACTTCCCTGATTTCCAGTTGCATGTCACCCTCTGCCCAATGCCTCCCACCTTCCTTATCCTCTTCCCTTCTCCACAGCACTACACATCTAACAGATTTATCTATCACCTATCTATCTATTTATTATCTGGCTCCTGCCTTTAGAAAGCAAACTTCACAAAAGTGCTAGGGACACAGTGCTTAAGACAGTGTCTGCTGGGTAGCAGGTGTTCAATAAATACGTGGAGAGAATGGATGTGCCATGTTGCATCTTAGTGTGTGGGCATTATGCCACTTGCCGACTGTCTTCCTTGAAAGGATTTTTTAAAAACTATAAAGCAAATGATTCTTTAATTCTCTGAGCGACACTCAGTGTGTGCAGCACTGGAGAGAAAGTGCTGGAGCCACGTCCTCTAATCTCCTCATTCTGGAGTCAAGGCCGGTTACTCTGAAGATCATTTTCCCTTAATACCGCGGAGACCCTCAATCTAAGATGAGGATCTGGCACCCACAGCTGCATTGTCCTGCGAGAGCGGCCCCCATGCGGACTCCTTGCCCCTCGTGTGAGTGAAGTGGGCCGAGCGCTGAGGCTCAGAGGAACCTGCAGGAGGCGGCGGCTTCTGTACAGCCCTCCCCACGCACTGCTGAGCTTCGAACCGGGAACCAGGCCGTGAAAGGACACACTCCCTCTTCTGAGGTCCTGAGCCAGGACCCTAATAAATGAGCTTATCTCAATCTCCTTCTCAGGCCGGCCTGGCTGGCTCTGAACCCATGACCCGCACCCATTTCCTCCCGCCCAGCCACCTGCCATCAGCACGCGCACACAGGCCCATGCTCATGGACACTTGGGGCTCTCCGCTCCCCGCACCTCTCCACTGGCCCCTTTCACACACAAGGACCTTGAGGTGTAGACCCAGGAACAGCCAGTTTCCTAACCTGGCGGTGCTGCCTGCTGACCTCCACCCCTCTCCCAGCGCACACCTCATCTCCAGCTTGTGTGATGGCAGAAAGGCTGTGTGTGTGTGTGTGTGTGTGTGTGTGTGTGTGTGTGTGTGCCCCTCAACCCAGGTCAGGGGCGCCTGGGAAACTGTGGGGCGAGGAGGAGGAGGAGAACAGGAAAAAACAAGTTGGTTTCTCCCTTCACACACGCGGGGCGGCAGGATATACCTGCTGAGTGTCCCTGAAGGCGGGAGGAGACCATCAGCTGGAGCCTCAGGTTCTGAGTGTGGGGCTGGGGAGGAGAGGGCGGGCACTGAGCGCGGGGAGGGCACCCTGCAGAGGTCAGGGCTCAGGGTGCCGCACCCAGCAGTGAGGTGGCTGCCTGGAGGGGGTGTGGGTGAGGAGAGGGGGCTCCCCGGGCTGCAGGGTGGAGAGGGAGAGCTGGGGAAGGGCGGGGGTGGGGTGAGTTGGAGGGCGGGGGTGTGGGGCACTGGGACCCCAGCAGGGTGCGCATTGGGGGGGGGAGTGGCTGCCTCAGTCTCCGGCCTGACCTTTCTGAGGGGGGGCGGGGGGTTACGACGAGAATGCGGATGGGGGGGGGCGTCGCTGGCTCCCACGGCGATGCAGCTGGACGGAGGGGCTCCGCGTGGGTGAGGCCCCCGGAGAGGGAGTGGCCGGGGACCTGGGGGGCCACAGGCGGGTGGGGGGAGTACGGGGACTGGCCATGTTTGCCTCCGGGGGCGGGACCTCCAGGGGAGACGGATGAAAGTAACCCCAAACCAGTGGGCAGGCGGTTAGGTGCTTCCACCCCGATGGGGTGGGGCTTCGGAGGGGGTCACCCCGAGGGGCAGGTGAGCAGCGGAGCCCTCGGGCCCTGGGCTGGAAAGGGGAGCCCCTAAGAGCAGGGACCCCCCCGCCCCAGGCTGCGGGGAGCGCTGGAGCCGCTGTACGGGATCCGGACAAAAGTCTGTGGAGCTGAGAGAGCCAGGGATGGGGGTACAGGGGGCTGCTCACCTGGGGGGGGGGGTGGCAAACTGGGGAGGGGGGGTGGCAAACTGGGGATCGGGCTGGGGTCGGAGGGGTTTGGGGGAGCTGAGGGGTTCTCATTAGGAAGCAAGCGCGGAGGGACTGGGGGAACGGACACGGTTTCCACTGGGGTGCTCCCCGCTCGGGCGGAGGGCTCCCCGAATTAGACGTTGAGTATGGGGCGCGGGGAGGGCTGCGGCCGCCGAGGGCGACCCCTAAACTGGGCTCAGGGCCCCTGGGGCTCGCGGGCGGCTCTCGCTCCGCCGGGGCCATGGGGGGTCCGCACCCGCGGGAGCCGTGGCGACCTGGGGGGCCCGGGGCGATCTCCCCCCACCAGGGAGATTGGGGATCCCCCAGGCTCCGGCGGCGGGGGGTCCCCGGTCTGGAACCCAGCTACCTGGAAGCCCCGGGCAGCGCTTCGTCCCGGGAGGGCGTTCCCGGCCCGGCCCCGCGCGGGGAGGGTGGGGTGCGGCCGAGCCCGGGCCCGGCCAGGCCCGCACCGGGGTTCGGGGGCCCGCTCCGGGGTTCGGGGGCCCGCTCCGGGGTTCGGAGCCCTCGCCCTCGGGGCCCGGGGCCGGCGGGGCGGGGTGCGGGCGCCGGGCGCGGGCGGCGCGGGGCTTTATGCGCGGGCGGCGGGGGAGGAGCCGGCAGGTCGGCCCCCGGCGGGCCCTCCCCTCGGCCGTCCCCGCCCGCCCGCCCGCCCGCCCGAGCGGGGTCGGGGGAGGGGGCAGCATGGCCTGTCCGTCCGGCCCCCTTCGCCGCGCACCTCATCTGCCCCGCGCCGCCCGCCGCCGCCGCTCCGCCGCCCCGCCGCCCGCGGCTCCCGATGGAGACAGACGCGCCCCAGCCCGGCCTCGCCGCCCCGGACTCGCCGCACGACCCCTGGTACGGCCGCCGCCGCCCGCCCGCCGCCCGCCGGCCCCGCCAACATGGCCGATGCGGCCGGCGGCCTCCGCGCCCGCGCCCCCCGCGCCCCGCGCCCGGCGCTCACGGCCCTTTGTGTCTCCGCCCGCAGCAAGATGTTCATCGGGGGACTCAGCTGGCAGACGACGCAGGGTGAGCGCCCGCGGCCGCCCGGCGCCGAGCGCCCCGGCCCGGCCCGCTGACCCCCGCGCCCCCGCCGCCGGGACAGGCGGGCGGCCGGCGAGGCGCGGCCCGGCGGGCGGAGCGGGGGGCGCGGGCGCGGGGGCCCCCAGGGCGGGCCGGGCCCCCGGGACCCGCCGGCGGCGGCGCCAACTCCGCTCGCACCTGCGGCTCAAACTTTTGTGAGCGGCTCCGGGCGGGCGGGAACCGGCCGGACCGTCCCCCCCGCGGCCCGCGGCCTCGGCGTCCCGGCCCCGGGGCGCCCGGAGCGGCGGGAGCCCGCGGGGGGGGGGTGGCGGGGGCTCCGGCCGCGGGCGCGGGGCGGCGGGCGCGGGGCGCGGGGCGCCGGGCGGGGCGGGGGCCGGGCCGGTGCGAGGCGGTGTGTGTTGCAGAAGGGCTGCGCGAGTACTTCGGCCAGTTCGGGGAGGTGAAGGAGTGCCTGGTGATGCGGGACCCGCTGACCAAGAGGTCCAGGTGAGCCGCGCCCCGCTCCCCGGGCCCCCCAGTGCCCCCCGCCCCCCGTGACCCTCTCCTCCCCGCCAGGGGCTTCGGCTTCGTCACGTTCGCGGACCAGGCGGGCGTGGACAAGGTGCTGGCGCAGTCGCGGCACGAGCTCGACTCCAAAACGGTGAGTGGCCCCGCGGCGGGGGGCCCTTTGGGGGGAGAGGGGGGCGCCGGGGCGGAGGCCCGGACCCCCGGGGACGGCCGCACGGGGTCCTGAGGGAAGGAGGGGGTTTTCTGAGCAGCAGGGCCGCCAGGCTCCCAAACTTTGTCACCGGAGTTGAAGGCGGAGAGGAGAGAGACCACCCGGGCCTGCCCCGAGATGCCCCATCTCCAGCCCCTCCGGGGAGGTGAGGGAGGCGCAGTCGCCCCCTCTGCCCCCCCCCCCCCATAGGTGCTCGTCTTCAGGCTCCGGGAGGAGGCCCGGGTGGGGCTGGGGCCGTCCCCTCCCCAAAGTGGGTGAGTCAGGGCCGCAGGGACCCAGCCCGTGGCTTCTGTGAACTGCAGCTAGCATTTGGCTCTGACCCCCCACCCCCATCCCAGACCCATGGCAGCGCACCCCTAAAGCTGCCCCCTCCCGGCCCCTGGCTTTGGGTCCCTGGGCGCCTTGCTTTGTGAGGAAAGCCCAGGCCTGCTCTCCCCGGGAAGGGAAGGGCTGGGGAGAAGGGAGCCAGCTTGGGGGAGAAACCCTCTGAGGCCGGGGCTCGGCGGCCTGTTTGGTTTCAAGCTGCTGGGACGTGTTTGCTGTTGTCCCTCTGCTCCCCGGTGTCCTGGGCTCTGCAGGGGCACTGGCCGGGGCCCCAGCTCCAGGGGAGAGGGGGAAGGAGAGAGTGATAGGAGGGGTTCCCCTGTGAGGGGGTGACCTGTGACTGGGGAGCCCAGGGGCTGGGACAGTGTGATCGCTCTCTGCACTCCCCCGTCTCCGGGCCTGGGCCTCCCTGCTCGGGGCAGCCGCGGGCTCCTGTTTACCTGCAACAATGGCCGGTTGTGCCCAAGAATTTGTTAAGTTGCCGCCCGCCTGTCCCCACTCCTGGCGTCTCGGCCAGGGCTCCCACCCCTGCCCTGGCGATGAGCAGCCGAGGCCAGGCCTCCACTTTGCGGCTCTGAAAGGCTCCTCTTGGCTCAGCCCGAGTGACCCAGGCCGGGAGTGGAGAGACAGTGGCCTATTGTTTTTGGTGATTATCTGCCATCGAGCTGCCTGTTCTCCTGCCGTCCCCTGTCCTCAGAGTGCACGGTGGCTTCTGTGCCTCTGTGAGCCGAGAGGCTGGGCTGGGCTGGGGGAAAGGAAGGCTGATAAGGGCTAGAAGAGAGGGGAGGAAGGAGGGTGCGGTGGCCTCCTTCTGAGACGTAGAACTCAGGGGCAGAGGCCTTGTGCTCGGCATTCTCTGGCTGCGTTAGGGGTGGTGGGAGGGAGGTTGATTGTGGGGAGTCTATTTTGGGTTCTTTCACCTTTTATTTACTTGTTGGGTTTCAGTTATGTTGCCGGCTGTGAGTCAGAGTGGAGGTGGGGCGCAGCGGGATAGGGTGTATGTGGGTCTGCTGGACGGAGCTCGGGTCCCGGCTCATCTCCCCGGGGGGTGCGGTCTGCGTGGGGGGGTTTCGGGGGGGGGGCTGACTGAGGTGTGCTCCCCTGGCTGGGAGAAATGGGAGGAGGAAATATGTACAAAATCACCCCCTCGGACAGGGAGAATGGTCAGCTGTGATTTCCCCGGAGCCGAGAGGGCCTCTGGGAGAGCAGGCCCTGCCCTGGCGTGGAGTGTGCGGGTTCCCTCTCGGTGGGCGGGCTCCAGGGGGCGCCCTGAGGAAGCTGGTCCTTGGTCTGTGCCGTCCAGGCAAGAGAGCCGGTCGCCTGGAACAAGGCTGAGTTGCGGACAGAAGGAGCTTTGGGAAAAGATAGTTCTCGCCTGCGTGCGGCTGGCTGGTGACCTCGTGAAAGGTGTCCCCCGTGTGGGTGCCCGCAGCTCCGGGATGGCCGAGCCTCCTGGGCCCCGAACGGACCGCAGTGCCCCCCGCCCTGCCTGTGGCCGCCTCTCAGTCCGGGTGGAGCACCCGCATAGCCAGATGCAGGCTGCTTTTCCCTCCTGCGGGCTGCTCCCAGCCAAGGGCAAAGGTGGCCCCGGCAATAGCCGCGAAGGGCCGTTCACACAGCACCGCTCTCGGCCCCGTTATCGCATTCGCTTTCCCCAGCTGCCCCTGGGAAGAGGGGCTGCGATTGCCCCCACTTTGCAGATGAGGGCACTGAGGCTCCGAGGGGCCAGGCGAGTTCCCAAGATCACACAGGCTTGTCCCGGGGCCCGGGATTCCTGAGTCCCAGCCCGCTGGCCTTGCCCGTCACCGCAGCCTGGGCCCGGCCTCACCCCAGGCCCGCCGCGTCCTCCGCGCGCTGTTTGCGGGCGCCCTCTGGGAGAGCTGGGAGGTGTCATAACATCAGGGGAACAGGCCGAGTCCACTCCCGGTGGTTTATGAACTCTTATCTGGAGGCCAAGGCCGTTCCTTCGCAAGCCTTCAGAAGTCTGGATTGCGTGCCTCGCCTAGACAGGTGTCTGTGTGAAGTCCGTTAAGCTGGGAAGGTCCTCACGATGCCTGGCGCTCAAAGGAGTGAGACTGCTTACTTTTGGGGGGTTCAGCCGGACACCATTCTTTGCGAGCATTCTCTCCTGTGCCCTGCAGATGTCCCCAGGAGGTGGAAGTTACTCTCTGGCCGTTTTGCAGGGAGCTTGACCCTGAGGCTCAGAGAGGTTCGGTAATTTGCCTAAGGTCTTTACAGCTGGGAAGCACCTTAAGAGGGATTTGCACCCACTAGCCCGGCTCGGGGGCCCACATGCTTAACCACTCCGCCTTCCTGCCGGAGGCTGGCTCTGTCGCCTCGGTGTCCTGGCCTGAGAACAGTCCTCAGGGCGGAGAGTCCAGTGGTCACCGTCAGTGTGTGGTAACGAGGGCCCCTTCTCTTTCAGATTGACCCCAAGGTGGCCTTTCCCCGGAGAGCACAGCCCAAGGTAGGCGTGTGTCTGTCGGGAGGGGCTCTGTGACGGAGGGCAGAGATATTCCCAGCATTCCTTTCTAGGAAAGATGCTTCGGGACCTCGGTGGGGACCGGGACGGGGGGAGGTAGGATTCTCGACGTCCTTGTTCTGTAGATTGAAGACACCATGTATCCTCTTTCCCTGTGTGCCCCGGGGCAAGCTGGGGAAGGGGCGGCGTGTGCTGGAAGAAGGGGAACCTCTCGGGGGACCCGTTGTGCTATATTGGAAGCCCGTTTGGCTTGGACCCGGAGTGGAATTCTGACCTCAGAGAGCACAGCCTCGGTTCCCAGTGCCTCCGGGGGTCAGATCCAGGACAGACCTACCCCCCCCCCCCCCCGCCCCGAGGCTGAGCTGGAGGAGGTCAGAAGCGAGCGGCTTCTGACCCCGGTCACCCTGCCGCCTCTGGATGCTTGGGGCCTGAGGAGGGGGAAGGGACCTCGGAGCCCGTCACCTGCTGTCTTTCCGCCTGGGGACCGTGGCTGCCCTCCCCAGCGCGCGCTCTTCCTGGTGCCTGGCACACTTTTCTGGGTGTGTGGGAGGAACCGGAAGGAAAACAGATTCCTCGGCACTGGAGCCATAGAGCACTCCAAACTATGGTCCAGGGCAGAGGCCTGAGATGCTATTCCCGCCCCAGGGCCACTCGCCGGATCTTAACTTTTAAGCAGTTGAATAGCAGAGACAGGGAGGCTGGCTACAGAACAGGGACCCTGTGTCTGCTGACTTACCAAGTGTCCCAGGACTAGTCCCTCCCCAGGAGAGCTGTTTCTCCTTTGCAGGAGGGGCGGTGGGAACTGAGACGCCTTAGGGTTCTGAGGCCTGGTGCCCGGCTCCTGCCGCGGCGAAGGGAGAGGGCAGCGTGGCAGCGGCAGGAAGGGGCGCCTCTGGCGGGCCCGGCGGAGGGAGGGCCTGAAAGCAATTACGGGGCAGGTATGCGAGGGAAGGCAGCCGCGCGGGGAGCGCATGGTCGGAACTGGGTTAATTCCATTAAGCAGTTTGGTGACAGAAGGCGCTTTGGTGTGAGGACGGGGCTGGGAATTGCTGTGGATTAGCCATGCGCTCTGGGGTAATTAGGACCATGTGTTCCTCCTCGAACGGGACTGGGGCCACAGGGCTGCCAGAGGCCCGGCTGGGAGGCGGTGGGTGAGGAACACGTTGGCATGGCGTCCGGGGGACCCTGGGCTGGCCGTGGCCTCTCCCAGGGGTAGCGGGCGGGGTCTCAGTTAGGCTGTATGGTCTTTAGGGAGGGCATTTCCCCATAAGACCCCGGGGAGGAGGCGCACTGGAGCCAGCCAGGGTGTGGGGTGCACAGCTGCCTGGGACAGGCCTAGAGGCGGGGGCCGAGGGGGAGCTCAGGGGGGTCTTCCGAGAAGCGGGGGCCACAGAGAGCCCGTCAGCTGGCGCCCTGGCAGGAGGCACGCCCCTGCTGGTGGCAGTAGGCCACGGGACTCAGATGCCCACTCTCCCCTCCTCTCCCCGACAGATGGTGACCCGGACGAAGAAGATCTTCGTGGGGGGGCTGTCGGTGAACACCACGGTGGAGGACGTGAAGCAGTATTTTGAGCAGTTCGGGAAGGTGGGTGAAATCGGGGCGCTTACTGGGGGTGGGAAGAGCCGGGGATTGGTCAGCAGGGAGCAGAGTCCAGCCGGTCACTCCAGCGGCCACGGAAGGTGAAAGAGGGGTGGGTGCTTCTGAGGGTGAGGTGAGGCCAGCCCACGGTGCAGGCTGCTGGCCTGTCTGAGGGCCCCACCCCCTGGCCGCGTCCCCGGGGACAGAGCGCACAGTAGCTCTCTCTGTTGTTGCCCTTCCCGTGTTTTCCTCTCACTTATCTCCGTCCCCGGGGGAGGCTGCACTCCGCAGCCAGTTCCATCCAGTCCCCGGGCCTCTTGGGAGCCTGCACCTGTCCGGGCCATGGCAGCACCTTCCCCCTCTCCTTCCCGGTGAGGACGATACGGAGGCGATAAATAGGGCTCCCACTGCACCCCGCACTCGCGGGCACAGGCGGGAGCTGGGGCAGGAGCTGGGGAAGGGCTGATCCTCCAGCTGTTTGGGGGGAGGCGGTGCGCTGACCATCAGGCCCCAGGCTTGGCTCTCTGCTCTGAGATGCAGCCAGCTTTCATCTCCGGGCTGTTTGTGACATCAGACCATGGGGTGTCCCCAGGAAGGTGAGCGATGTCAGAGTCAAGGTTCCACGGAGAGACGGCAAAGGGGGGACCCACGAGTTAATCTGAGGGTGACGGGTGCTGTGTGCTCAGTACCGGGTCCCTGGCCCTCTCCTGCGCCAGGCAGGCTGCAGGCTGGCTCTCACTTTCCCACCCAGGCGGCTGCAGTTCCCTGTGGGCTAAGGGCAGGAAGGTGGCTTGGGAAATGGGGTGTGAGCTGGCCACTGGGTGAGTTTCCGGCTCCCTGTCTCCGGGGGGGAAGGGAGAAGGTGAGAGGTCCCTGGGCCACGGATGCTGGCGGCGCGGGGGTCTCCGTGGGGACCTGGGTCCGGGGCGCAGGGTGGAGACTGGGTCGGGGCGCAGGGCGGGCCGTGGGGACCTGGGTCCGGGGCGCAGGGTGAGTGGTGGGGACCTGGGTCCGGGGCGCAGGGCGGGCCGTGGGGACCTGGATCGGGGCGCAGGATGAGTGGTGGGGACCTGGGTCTGGGGCGCAGGGCGGGCCGTGGGGACCTGGATCGGGGCGCAGGGCGGGCCGTGGGGACCTGGGTCCGGGGCGCAGGGTGGGCCGTGGGGACCTGGGTCGGGGCGCAGGGCGGGCCGTGGGGACCTGGGTCCGGGGCGCAGGGCGGGCCGTGGGGACCTGGGTCGGGGCGCAGGGCGGGCCGTGGGGACCTGGTCCGGGGCGCAGGGCGGGCCGTGGGGACCTGGGTCCGGGGCGCAGGGTGAGCCGTGGGGACCTGGATCGGGGCGCAGGGCGGGCCGTGGGGACCTGGGTCCGGGGCGCAGGGTGAGCGGTGGGGACTGGGTCCGGGGCGCAGGGTGGGCCGTGGGGACCTGGGTCGGGGCGCAGGGCGGGGACTGGGCCGGGCGCGGGGCGGGGCCCCGGGGGAGGCCGCCCGGCGGCGGGCCCTCCCTCCCGGGGTGTCTTTGTGTCGGAGCGGAGCGGCGGAGGGAGCGGCGGCCCCGCACTAATCGGATCCAGCAGCTGCGATTGGAGGCCGCTGCCCCCGGGGCCGGCGTCGCCATGGCAACCGGGCCCCAGGAGAAGCCGGCAGCGCCGCGTCTTTTGTTCGGGCCTAAATCGGCGTTGGCATGTGAAACCGGCCCGGGAGGCCGGGGACCGGGGGGAGCCGGGGAGCCGAAGAATAGGCTGCCGGGGAGCGGGGACAGCCGGGGGGACAGCCGGGAATGCCAAGGGCCCTGCGGCGGGGGACCCCCCCCCCCCCGCCCGGACCGAGGGGCAGCCGCCGAGGGGGGAACAATGGTCGCCGCCATGGCTGCCACTCAGGCTTAGCGGCTGCCGAACTTGGCGGCTCCCACCGGTCAGCAGCCCCGCCGCTCCCCTCCCCCTGCCCGGCCCCCCGCCCTGCCCCGGTTCCCATGGCGACCGGAGCCTATTAAGGACACCGCGCTGGGCGCCTCTCCCCGCTGCCCGGGGGGAGGGGGTGCTGGGGGAGGGGGTCCTCCGGGCCCCACCTCCCCCCGCCGCTGCCCTGGCTCCCCGCCTGGCCTCGACCCCAGGCCCCCGGGTCTGTCCAGCCAGAGCTCAGGGGGAAGGGTCCGGGGGTCCGGAGTGATGGATGGGCCGGGAGACTGGGAGGAAGAAGGCAGAGAGGGCTGTGCATTTGGGCCGGAGTCAATGTGTGAATCAGGCAGGGACTCAAAGCTGTCCCCAGGTTCTCAGTTCATTCATTCGTCCGAACAATAATTACTGAGCCCAAGTCAAGTGCTCAGTCGGCTGGATACGGTAACAGCCGGCACCGCGCTGTCCACTCCAAACCTTCGAAGGCCGTGGTGGTGGGCTGCCCTCCCCAGCTCGGTCCCCTCCGTGATAAAGCAATGATAATAGTCGTTACTTATTAAGCACTGACTGTATCCCAGGTGCTAGGAGTTGAGTGTTACACGCTCTCATTTAACTCCTCCCTGTAAGACACTCTCACACCCATTTCACAGATGAGTCACCTGAGTCAGGGAGACAGAGCCTCTTGCCCCAGAGGACCCACCAGCAAGTGCAGGGCCTGGGGTGTGAATTCAGAGCCTGAGCCTGATGCGGCCCTCCTGGGCGGGCCTCCTCCTGGCATCGCTGAGCAGGTTTGGGATTGGGACTCGGAGCGGGTCCTTCAGGATGAGCGTGAGGGTGAGGCTCCCCAGGAGGCCAGCAGGGCCCGAAGAGGCCATTTCCTCCTCAGAGTCTCAGGGACCAGCCACCTCCCGGCTCGGAGGGTCCTGGCGCCCTCAGGGGGGGTCCGGCACTGTCCCACATGGCGCTGTGTGCGCTGCAGGGATTGTCCCCTCCTTTAAGGAGGCGGCAGGCCTGGGGAGAGAGCGAAGGGGAGTCCAGGAGAAGCTGTGCTCCTGCTTCAGGCAGTTTTCCTTCACCCCTTGGGTGTGTGTGTTGGGGGGTCAGCGGCTGGAATGCGGTGGAGGGGGAACAGCCCTTATTTCCACCAAGGATGAATCAGACCTTCGCTTAACCCCGTGAGCTAGCGGACCTTGGCTGGAGGGTGAAGGGCCAGGAGAATCAGCCGATGCGGGCACAGGGGAGGCGGTGGGGGGGTGGGAGGGAAGCTAAGGCCTCTGGCTGACCAGGGATCCAAGGGGTGCCCTGAGGAAGAAGCAAGAAGAGCAGCCTGGGGTCCAGGGAGGGAGGAGAGGAGGGGAGACCCTCCCCTTTCCTCAGCCCGGTCTCTCCCCCAGTCAGTGGGAGGCCAGCAGCCCAGGCCCTGAACTCCACGTGGTTTAATTACGGCCTCTAGCAAAAGGAAGCCTCAATTAGAGGAGAAGCTCTGGACCGGAGAGGGAGAGGGGCGCTGAGACTGGCTGAGAGGCTGCCGTCCTGGCCTTTCGCAAAGAGGGGAGAGGCTTCTGCTTCCCCGACTCCGGTCTTGATCTTGTATTTCCTCCCCTGCTGCCCACTCAGTGCCTCTTCCTCCCAGGCTTGATCTAAGGCTTGCTGTGTGACCTTAGGCCGGTGACTTCACCTCTCTGATCCCACTTCCTTCTGTACAAAATGAGGGTCTTGACGCGCAGGGAATGTGGAGAGGATCATGGGACAAGGTGCCGGGCACATACTTGGCGCTTAATATTTGCTGGCTGGCCCGTCGGGAATCGGGGGGTGGGAAGGGGCAGCTGGGGTTGCGGGTAGGAAGTTGCCCCCAGCGCGGGAGCAGGTTTACGAAAAAGCCTGGGCTGGGGAGCAGGGGACGGAACAGGCGTGGGAGGCCCCCTGGTCTCTGGAGTGGGGACCCTCCCACCACCAAACGGCTCTGTTTCAGGTGGATGATGCCATGCTGATGTTTGACAAAACCACCAACCGGCACCGAGGTGAGCACGGCCCCGGCCCCTCCCCCTCCCGGGCCGGCCTGCCGGGCCTGTGGTCAGCCAGGGGGCTGCAGGTCACAGCTGCCCTTTCATCTCTCCTCCTGACATCCTATCCCCGAGGATCTGCATCCTCTCCCGGGCCCGGCCTTACAGAAGGCTTTTGTCCCGCCGTTTCCTGTGCTAGAAACTTGCAGAATTGCAGACACCCGAGAGGAGCAGACTCTCCCCCGGCCGGGCCCTGCCCCCACTCGGCCTGCTGTCTGCCCGGCAGTGTCTGCACTGGGCTCACCTTGTCCCTGGTAACCGGAGCGCGGGCCAGGCTGCCCCAGGGTCAGGCTGACTTGCCGACTCAAAGCCCCAGGCAGTCTGCTCCTACCACTGCCCTTCACCCCCACCCCTCAGCGGGGCCCAGCCCCCCACCCCAGCTCCCTCGCCCCTGAACCTGGGAGCTTCTAGGCCACGGTGTTTGCACAGCCTGGTTGTTTTTCTCCCAGAGGCCTTGCCTCTCAGACTCCCATTCCGTCCCTGGGGCGCAGGGGAGGAGGAGGGCTCCCGCTCCAGCTGCTGCAGGACTTTGGGCCTTTAACCTGCTCTGGGAGGGAGGAGGGGCGGAGGGTGCCGCTGTGTGTGGGCCTCTGCATGGGGAGGTGTCAGCGTCTGAACGTTTGTGTGTGTGTGTGTGTTGTATCGGGGTGACTGTGTACTGGGCACAGGGTCTTTATGTGTTTGGGAGCACGTGTGTGAGTCTACCTGTGTGAGTGTGTACACTTTTGTGTGCGTTTACACAAGGGTCTGTCTGTGTGTGCTCTTCCCTTCCTCTCTGGAAAGCATCTGAGAGGAGAAAGGGCACGTGGAGTGGAATTCCGGCAGGGCTCTGCCCCTTTCCCTCGCTGTGTGATCTTGAGCACATCACTCGCCTTCCTGAGCCGTGGCGGTCACGTCTGGAGTTTGGAACCAGAAGCCGTCTGGGCCGGTGCTGAGAGGGTCCTGGCTGAGGGCTCTCAGGCGCTCCCCTGCCAGAGGGAGTGGTGGTGCTGGTGTGACTCGGGGCTGGGTTTGGGCCATGAGCCCGGTTCTGACCCTGTGTTTGCCCGCTAGGGTTCGGATTTGTCACGTTTGAGAGTGAAGACATCGTGGAGAAAGTGTGTGAAATTCATTTCCATGAAATCAACAACAAAATGGTGAGCTGGGGTTGGACAGGGTGAGGGGCGGAGAGAGGCTTTGGCGCCTGGCTGAGCCGGCCAGGGGCGCCCAGCGGCTCTGGAGGCGGCAGAGGGCTCAGTCAGGGGGTAGAATCAGTTCCCCACACCCTGACAATCTGCATGGCAAGGTGTTTGCCCCTGTAGCGGTTAAAAAGCCTGGGGTGGGGGAGGCGGAAAGCAAAAACTTAAAAAAGCCTGGATTGAAATCCTCACCCCACTACTTGCTGGTCTAGTCATTGGGCAGATGGTTTTCGCTCTCTGAGCCTCCATTTCCTCATCTGTAAAATGGGAGTGACCGTAGCACCTTCGTGATTGTGAGCATTCAGGAACTGGTGCCTGCAGCCAGCCTGTTTGCACGGTGCCTGGCGTGTGGTAACGGAGATGAACAGTGAAGAGGCCGGGGAACGGGAGGGCCGGGGGGAGGACTGACACCGGGTCTCATTGCAGGTGGAATGTAAGAAAGCGCAGCCAAAAGAGGTGATGTCTCCGACCGGCTCAGCCCGGGGCAGGTCCCGAGTCATGCCCTACGGAATGGACGCCTTCATGCTGGGCATCGGCATGCTGGGTACGTGCCGGGCCTGCACCCGCAGCTTCTCCCTGCCCAGCTGAGGCCTCGCCTCCGTGGTCCGCCCTTCGCTCCGGAGTCTTTGGGTGGAAGTGGGGACCCAGGGCCTCGGGTCTGCCAGGCCTGCCAGAGTCGGGTAGTTTGTTGTGGGGCACTGCCCTCTGCTGGTGGCCAGAAGAATGGTCCAGCTGCTCTCTCCTTGGTCTTGTCCTTCCATCCATTCATCCATCCAGGAAATAGGTATTGAGCAACTGTAAATGCCAGGTGCACTGTGCCAAGCAGCACAGCAGTGACTCCCCTTGGACCTTTACGGTTTGGCATGGAAAACAAACAGTAATAACATACACGGGTTTAGGATGGAGGAGTGTAGGGTGCCAGGGGAGCATGGGTCGTAGGGCACGTAACCAAGACTTGGAGAAGCCAGAAGAGAAGATCCATGTGAGCTGAGTCTGCAGACTAAGCGGGAGCTAGGGGGAAGGGAGGGGAGAGTGTTCCAGCAGCGGGAGCAGCGCTCACAAACACCCACTGGCCTTTGGGGAGGGAGAAAGGCTGCAACTGATGCTGATGGAGCAGCTTCTGAGAGGCCGCGCCTGGCCTCACGGGGTTTCCCATCAGTGGGAGACGGGAGTGGATTGGCAGTGTCCCCACAGGGGGACGAAGCCGTGGGAGTCCGAAGAGGGACCGAAGCCGCAGGGGTGTCGGGGAGGTCTCCCTGGCGGAGGGGAGGGCTGCCTGAGCCTCAGAGGTTGGGCAGGATCAGCGCCGCTCGGGGCCCCGATGGAGGGCGGACAGTCTGAGCCGGGCCCGCAGGAAGCTCAGTTTCCCGGAGAGACAGGATGTGCCCGCACAGGAAGGGAAAGTACAGGGGTCTTTATGCTGGGAACTCGGAGGAGGGGAGATAATGTGGCTAGAGGGCCAGGTTTGGGGTCACAGATGGGGCGGTTGAGGACAGCACCCTCCAAACGGTGCATGGTCTTCTCTTGAAGTTTTGGGGTTGGTTTTGTTTGTTTGTTTGTTTATGTGGAAATAGTTGCAGACTTTCGGAAGAGTTGAAAACAAAGTAGCACAGAACATCCATATACCCTTTACCAGATGCATCTGTCATTAACATCATACCCACGTCTTTGTCATTCCCTCCCTCCCTCCCTCTCTCTCTCTCCCCCCCCCTTTCCCTCTCTCCTCCCTCTCTCTCCATATGTATGTCCACACACACATAATAAATACTTGTGAGTAAATCACATGCATTATGGTCCTTTACCCTTAAATACTTCACTAAGATCAGGGATATTCTCTCATGAGACTATGTAATAATTGTCAACTTTATACATTGATATTGGTAGGGTATTTTATCCTAGCCCACCTATTTCTGACTTTATTAGTTGGCTCAGTAACGTTCTCTGGAGCACTTTTTTTTTTAAAATATATTTTATTGATTTTTTACAGAGAGGAAGAGAGAGGGATAGAGAGTTAGAAATATCGATGAGAGAGAATCATCGATCAGCTGCCTCCTGCACACCCCCTACTGGAGATGTGCCTGCAACCAAGGTACATGCCCTTGCCCGGAATCGAACCCGGGACCTTTCAGTCCGCAGGCTGACGCTCTATCCACTGAGCCACACCAGTTTCGGCTCTGGAGCACATTTTTGCCTCCATGAACGAGCCCTGGGCTAGATGCACGCCTCGCCTTTTGTTGTCCTGTCTCCTCAGCCTCCTTTGATCTGGAACACGAGAAAGTTTTCTTTTCAAGGCGATTTGTTCTTTATCCTGTGTCAAGACTGAACCCAGGAAAGGGAGTCCTCTGACAGGTGGTGGGAACGGCGGCGGAGTGACTGGGAGCCTGTCGGTGTGAATCCAAACCCCTTTACCCCGTGGCCGTTCCTCCGAGCCCTGGTTCCCAGCTCCGGGTGTGAGACGCCAGCGCCTGCTGGTGCTGGAGGCTCAGGAGGAGATGGGGAAACAGGAAGTCCGCACTTAACCGGGGCTGCAGAGGGAGAAGCCAGGGGGTGATAGGTACATATTGTAACCCTTGTGGGTGACCTCTCTGAGGAGGTGACACTGGGCTAAGGTTTGCACGGTGACAAGGAACCCGTCATGTGAAATCCGGGGTGGGGTGAGCGTTCCGGGCGGAGGAACAGCATATGCAAAGGCCCTGAGGTGGAAAGGGGCTTGGGGAACAGTAGGGAGGGGAGGTCAGCGTGGCTGGGGCGCAGTGACCAGGGACAGAGCTGATGAGGACAGGAAGGAGGCAGGAGCCAGAGCAGGAAGGGCCTCGGCAAGGGTTTGAATGGCTCTTAGCCAGTAAGCGTCCCCTCTCTCTGAGCCTCCGTTTTCTGACCTATAAGATGGGGTTCTCGGCAGTAAGGATTGCTTAGGGTCCTGATGAGGTTTAAGGAGAAAAGCTGTGCGTGGGCCGGGCCCGGGGCTCGGCATGTGGAAGGTGCCGGTGGTGGGACTGGCTGTTGCTGGGAGATGACGGGGGAGGGAAAGGAGTGGCTCAGAGTTCCCGCTGCTCAGGGTCCGAGCTGTCGGTGAGGCCTCTGACCCCGGTCCCCTCACCCCCCCAGGTTACCCCGGTTTCCAAGCCACGACCTACGCCAGCAGGAGTTACACCGGCCTCGCCCCCGGCTACACCTACCAGTTCCCCGGTAAGCCCGGCTCAGTCCGCTGCCAGCATGTCCCCGGTCCCCGGTCCCCGGTCCCCAGGCCGTCTGGTGTGTGGGGGTGCACGGCTGGGGCTGGGGGGCTGCCTGCGGGGAGTTTGGAAGGAAGGGCATGTCTGAGGAAGGAGCACCTCTCCCCACCCGCCCCCTCCCCCTTCTTCCCTTCCCCCTTCCCTCTCCCCCCTCCCTCTCCCCCTCCTCCTGGAAGCCGGGGCAGGTCCCTCCCAGGCCGGCCTCCTGTCTCCTCCCCACCCCCACCTCCACCACAGAGGGCACAGGCTTGGGTCAGCAGGCACCAGGGTCAGCAGGCACCGGGGTCAGCAGGCACCGGGCACCCGGGCGTGTCTTTCTGGACACGGGGAGGGCCACGTGCCACGCTGAGCCTTCCGAGGCCAGCGGGACCCCTGAGACCCGGATGCTGGAAGCGATTTAAAACATGATGCTCAGCCGAAACCGGTTTGGCTCAATGGATAGAGCGTCGGCTTGGGGACTGAAGGGTCCCGGGTTCGATTCCGGTCAAAGGCATGTACCTTGGTTGCGGGCATATCCCCAGTAGGGGGTGTGCAAGAGGCAGCTGATCGATGACTCTCTCCCATCGATGTTTCTAACTCTCTATCTCTCTTCCTTCCTCTCTGTACAAAATCAATAAAATATATTAAAAAATAATAAAAAATAAATTCATTTAAAACATGATGCTCAGCTCCCTCATCTGTGATTCAAAGCGAACACAGCTCTCTGCCTCCGAACGCATGGCAGGACGCCCGCCAGAGCTTTGAACTCTCCCGTGATGACTGTTCAGTGTTGTTTTCTTTGAAATGTCAGATTTTTGCAAGGCTCTTGGTCTTATTTTTATAGGGTCCCTCGGCAGGTGCCTCGGCCCCTCGGGCTGCCTGGTCGGCATTCTGTCTGACCCTGACAGCAGTCCCAGGGGGGAGGGCTGACGGTCCCCTTGTATCGGTGAGGAAATGGGCTCAGAGGGAAGGGAGAGGTGACTGGCTAAGGTGACTGGACCAGAAAGTTCTGGAGCCGAGAGCCCACCTGAGCCTGACCTGCTCCAGGTCATCGCTTTTACCATGCTGCTCCCCCAGCTCCTCCTTCCCCCAAAAAATAGGAGTTGAGGAGGATTCTGGGGGATGTTGAGGTGCAATCTCAAGCCTTTAAAAAAAAAAATTAAAAAAAAAAAATATATATATATATATATATTTATATATTATTGATTTTCCACAGAGAGGAAGGGAGAGGGATAGAGAGCTAGAAACGTTGATGAGAGAGAAACACCGACCAGCTGCCTCCTGCACACCCCCTACTGGGGATGTGCCCACAACCAAGATACATGGCCTTGACCAGACTCGGCAATCTCAAACCTTTTAAGAAACATCGGCCTGGCAGGTGTAGCTCAGTGGTGGAGCCTTGACTCATGAACCAGGAGGTTATGGTTCAATTCAAACCAGGACTCATGCCTAAGTTGCCAGCTCCATCCCCAGTAGGGGGTGTGCAGGAGGAGCCAGTCAATGATTCTCTCTCATCATTGAAGTTTCTGTCTCTCTCTCCCCCTTCCTCTCTGAAGTCAATAATATATATATATAGCAGCCCCGCTTTGCCCGTGCCCAGGGTATAGATGGCACCTCTACTCTCTCTCTGCGCCTGTCTCTGTCCTCTGTGTCTGTCTCCTCCCCTGCCTGGCCTGCTGGGACTGTGCCCTCCCCCTCCCCAGCTCCTGGGTCCTGTGCATGGCCTGCCCCCACCCAGTGTCCCTGTGGGTGCCTTTGTCCCCGGCCACACCCGAGGGCCCCCCTGCACCTCCCTAAGCTGTTTGCGTTTCGTTGCAGAGTTCCGTGTCGAGCGGACCCCGCTCCCGAGCGCCCCCGTCCTCCCCGAGCTTACAGGTCAGTTGCTCGGACTCCGTTCACCTCGCAGGCGCGTGGGCGGGAGAGGAGGACCCAGGAGCCCCCCGGGGGAGGGGCGGTGGACTCCCCTCTCCTGCCTGCAGTCTCCCGCTGTGGATGCGCAGCCCGCCTGGGCGCCGGCCAGGCCGTGAGGACATGGCCCTGGGGGTGGAGCGTCGGGCCAAGGTCAGCAGATGGAGGCCCAGGCCCCCATTCATCCACTGGGCAGGCATTTCTCCGGCGCCCCCGTCAGCACCACGTAGGCTGCAGGCCCGGTGGGGAAGAGGCCAGGGCTCAGACCGGGGCAGGGCGGGCCAGGCGGGGACCTGGGCGGACGGCGGGCACGCCCAGCCGGCCCTGCGGTGGGGGGGGGGGGGGGGGTGCCCACCCAGTCCGTTTGGACCTCATCTTCCAAGAGAAGCCGGAAACCCGGCTTTTGCTTTCGAAGGAATTTTCCAGTTGCAGTGGGACCTTGTTTCTCGATCCGAAGGCTGTTTGAAAAGCCACATCACGTTTAGCAACAATGCAGATGTAATTAACCCGGGACAGACCCCCAGGCGGCTCCCTGCTGTCACCTTTCTCTTACGCAGCACATGTCTGCTAGGATACCTCATCTACAGAGGAACCCTTCAAAAACAAAAAGATGTGAAATTTAGATGAAAATTTAACAAAGAGGAAAGGAAGTATATAGCAAAAAGGAAAATTTCACAATAATTATAAGCAGCAACGAAAGCAAAAAAAAACACGAAAATCTTTACAGCGCAATGTCCTGAGACTTTTTAAAAAATATATTTTATTGATTTTTTTAGAGAGGAAGAGAGAGGGATAGAGAGTTAGAAGCATTGATGAGAGCGAAACATTGATCAGCTGCCTCTTGCACACCCCCCACTGGGGATGTGCCCGCAACCAACGTACATGCCCTTGACCGGAATCGAACCCGAGACCTTTCAGTCCGCAGGCCGATGCTCTCTATCCACTGAGCCAAACGGGTTTTGGCTGTCGTGAGACTTGAACAGCGGTAACTGACTCGTTTGAACATTCTCTCCTGTTTGTCACGTGAGAGATGCGTGTCATACAGGTATCAGCAGGAAAGGGTTGTCAGGTTAAGAAGTGAGATGTTGCCGAGACCGGTTTGGCTCAGTGGGTAGAGCGTCGGTCTGCGGACTGAAAGCGGGTTCGATTCCGGCCAAGGGCATGTACCTTGGTTGCGGGCACATCCCCAGTGGGGGGTGTGCAAGAGGCAGCTGGTCATTGATGTTTCTAACTCTTTGTCTCTCTCTCTTCCTCTCTGTAAATAAACAATAAAATATATATTTTTAAAAAATAAAATATATCTTAAAAAGAAAAAGAAGTGAGATGTTCCAGAAACAAGGCTCCCCTGTATTTTTAAGTGTTGGCAACAAATTCCAAACTTTGAACCACTGCGGGCCACACGAGACCTATTCGGGCAGAGCCAGGCCTCGGCTGCCCATGGGGACGTCCGGGCCAGTGGGTGCAGGTGCTGGCCTTGGCCATTTCTCCAACCGGACCCTCCGCTTGGCGCCGAGCTGGGGGCCAGGCCGAGGGGCAGGGGGGCGCTCACAGGTGAGGGGGCTGCGCGGGGTTTCCCTGCTCCACCTGCTTGCCCCTCCCCCACACCCGGACTCCCCCAGCCAGCCGTGCGTGGAGGATGGATGCTGCTTCCGATGAGACCTTCCCTCCAAAGGGTGCTCCGGGGCCCCCCAGGTTGGGGGGGGGGACATGGGGTGCAGAAAGGTGGGGTGATAGAGGCTCTTCCCCGGGTAGAGTCGGGGTTTGGGCAGCGATGGGGGAGGAGAGAGGCACCTTTTCTACCCGATGGAGAACACTGTGTGAGGACCCGCTGTGGGCCCCGGGGCCCGGCGGCGCAGAGCTTGCCGTCTGGAGAGGAAGCGGGTGCTTAGTAGGCAGGTGAGCAGCCCTACTCCGAGGTGGGAAGCAGGAGCTCGGCCTGGCCACACGCGTGCCTGTGGGAATGCCTGGAGGTGCCGAAGCACAGACGGAGCCCAGCCCTGCCCCTGAGGGGAGGGGAGAAACGCCCCTCGGGCGTTTTGGAGGGGGGGGTCCCTCCTAGAAGTCTGGGATCTGAACTCTTCTGTTTTTTATTTATATTTTTATTGATTTTTTTTTTTACAGAGAGGGATAGAGAGTTAGAAACATCGATGAGAGAAAATCATCAATCAGCTGCCTCTTGCACACCCCCTACTGGGTATGTGCCCGCAACCAAGGTACATGCCCTTGGCCGGAATCAAACCTGGGGCCTTTCAGTCCGCAGGCCGACGCTCTATCCACTGAGCCAAACCGGTTTCGGCTGAACGCTTCTCTTGCCTTCAGGAGATGTGAATAGACATTATTCATCACGGCAGGTGCTGCTCCCAGCTGGGCAGGCACAGCAGTGAGCGAGCTAGAGCAGGCCCTCCCTCCCGGAGCTGTGACGGGGGGGGGGGGGGGGGGGGGGGGGGCGCAATAAGCAAGCAAACAAGATATTTCAGGGGTGAGACGTCTCAGGAGAACAAAACGGAGATGTGGTGCTGCATGTGGTGCAGCGGCAGTGAGAGTGGTCAGGGAAGGCTTCTCGGAGGAGGTGGCATCTGAGAGAGACAAAGCCGGCCGCTATATGTGAAGCCTCCTCTACGGTGGGAGCTGCTCTGTCCCAGACTTCAAGTCCCAGCCCGGTGGCCACGCCAGGATTCCCAGGGGCCTTTTCAGGGATCCCTAGCCCCAGTTCTAGTTCAGGGTTAGGGTGACTCCAACAGCCCCTATGGGCGCATCTTAGGATGGGAGACTGATGTTCCTGAGGGCAAACACCATCGCTGCAGACCCTGGCTGGGGGCAGTTTACAGCCTCTCTGGGGCTGCAGTGGCAAAGCCAAACAGCAGGGGGCGCTCACCCCAGTCCCAGGGAACTCCTGGCTGCAGCCAACCTGTTCTTGAAGCAGTGGTCCCTTCTACTCCGTCAGTGGACATTTAGTAAGCACCTTCTGTGTACGGGCAGGGTCCTAGGCACCGTGGAGGGTCTGGATGGAAGTAGAAAGCAGACAAAAGGAATAGCAAAACCCCTGTGTCTGGAGGGGACCGAGGAGGGGCTGAGAGGCTTGGCTGTGGTCAGGGGGCCTGGGGCAGGCATGGGATGCGCACGGTTTGTGGAGGACATGCTTCGGGGGGGGGGGGGGGGAGCGGGAGCAGGCCCGGCGGCCGAAGGGAGGCCTGGGCGCATTGTGCTCGGCCAGCAGCCCCCCGGGAGCTCCGGCTGCACCGCGGGCACTTGCACTGAGGCCGAGGCCCGTGGCAGCCCGTCACTGGCTCAGGTGCCTGGTTTGGGAAGAGGGACAAACCTCCCATTTCCTTCGGGCCCAGGGCACTCTGGAGCAGTGGCAGCTCCGGCTGAGGGCCCCCCCGTGAGTGTGCCCCGCGAGTCCAGGGGAGCAGCCCTCCGCCCTCCTGCTGCCCATCACTGCAGGGTCAGGGCACGGCGCGGCCTCCTCGGGGGGCAAGGTGCGCCCCTCCTGCCGCTCTGAGTGCCCGCTCTTCCCTTCCAGCCATTCCTCTCACCGCCTACGGGCCGATGGCGGCCGCGGCCGCGGCAGCCGCTGTGGTTCGAGGAACGGGTAAGGCTTCTGGGGTGCAGGAAGCAGGGGAGGGGTGCAGGGGGCAGAGGAGTCTAGAGGGGCCCTTAGGGGGCTCCGTATTTAATCACCCAGGGTGAGCGCGGCCCCTGGCGAGCCAGCCGGGACCAAGGCCGGCAGCTCTGCCCGCGGAGCCTAGAGGCTGGGGTGTCTAGTGACACTGTCCCCTGGGGGGGGGGCACAGGGGAGCTCCAGGCCTCAGGAAGGCCTCTGGGGGGAGGGCTTCACTTTCAGTTTGAAGGCAGAGGGAACAGCAGGTGCGCAGGCTTGGCGGTCAGTGAGCTTGTGGAGCCAGGAATGGGTGCGGGGAGAGAGGGAGGAGGAGCCAGGGCCCGGGAGGACTCGGAGCACGTTAAGTGGCGGAGGGGCGGGATGTTAGGAAACGCACAGGCTCACAGGGAAGGGCTGGAAGGGGCTCGGGAAGGACGGAGGCCTGGAGGTGAGTGAGGAGGCCGCTGCGAGGTCAGACAGATCGGGGGCCGCGCCAGGCCTGGTGGGCGGATGGGCTGGGGGGGCTCCTCCAGGAGGGGGACCCACAGGCCCCGGTGGGATGAGGCGGAGGGAGGGGTGGAAAGGGGTGGAGGGATGAGGCGGAGGGAGGGGTGGAAGGGGGTGGAGGGATGAGGCTGAGGGAGGGGTGGAAGGGGGTGGAGGGATGAGGCGGAGGGAGGGGTGGAAGGGGGTGGAGGGATGAAGCGGAGGGAGGGGTGCAGGGAGGGGTGGAAGGGGGTGGAGGGATGAGGCGGAGGGAGGGGTGCAGGGAGGGGTGGAAGGGGGTGGAGGGATGAGGCGGAGGGAGGGGTGCAGGGAGGGGTGGAAGGGGGCGGAGGGATGAGGCGGAGGGAGGGGTGGGAGGGGGTGGAGGGATGAGGCGGAGGGAGGGGTGGAAGGGGTGGAGGGATGAGGCGGAGGGAGGAGTGGAAGGGGGTGGAGGGATGAGGCGGAGGGAGGGGTGGAAGGGGTGGAGGAAGGGGTGGAGGGGTGAGGCGGAGGGAGGGCTGCAGGGAGGGGTGGGTGCGACAGGTCTGAAGGCTCCAGGGCTACCACTGTCTTCTTTCTGGGTCGCCAGGCTCTCACCCCTGGACGATGGCTCCCCCCCCAGGTTCCACGCCCGGCCGCACGGGGGGCTTCCTGGGGACCACCAGCCCCGGCCCCATGGCCGAGCTCTACGGGGCCGCCAACCAGGACTCGGGGGTCAGCAGCTACATCAGCGCTGCCAGCCCCGCCCCCAGCACCGGCTTCGGCCACAGCCTCGGGGTGAGTGGCTGGTCCTGGGGGACCCAGCGCCGGAGGAGGGAAAGGCCTGTCTGCCCCAGGGCGGAGGGCGCGGGGCAGTGAGTGAGTGAGTGTCGCCGAGAGGGAGGACGGGAAGTCCGCATTCATTCAGCGGCCGCGTCACCCCTGCCGCCGCGGGCCGGGCGCTGGGGACGTTGTGCAAACGAGACCCGCCGCCTCTGCCCCAGCGGAGGCTGGTTCCCGCGCCGGGGCGGGTGGGGGCATTCCAACAAGGTACCGCTTCTGTGGCTGCACGAGGCCCCGCCCGCCCCGCAGACCTCTCAGCGGGTCTGCAGGGGCCGTCGCAGGGCAGGGCCGGGAGGACCTGGCCGCACTCCGGGGTCCGGGGAGGAACAGGGCCCTGGCTTTGTCTGCTCCCCGGAATCTAGGAGTCGACTTCTTGTCTTCCCAGGGCCCCTTGATTGCCACAGCTTTCACCAATGGGTACCACTGAGGCAGGAGCCAGGCGGCCAGAGGTGAGGAGGGGCAGGGGCCTGGGGTGGGGATGGTCCCAGGGAGCCTGGTACCGGGAGCCAGTCCCTGCCTTCATGGCCCATCGTCCGGGGGGTCAGACCTTCCAACCAGCCATGGCCACGGAACACAAAAAGCTGTTCAGCCTGCGACATAAAAATCTAAGAGCGAGCAGGATTGGGCGCAGATCTGTTAGGATTGCTAATGCCCAGCCATGGTGAGGGTGAGGGGAATTGCAGACAGGCTCGGGGTTTCCAAAAGGCAGTCTGGCCGTGCCTACGCACACTTCGTCATTGTTTTAAAGTATGTTCTTACTGATTTCAGAGAGGAAGGGAGAGGGGGGGAGAGAGAGAGAGAAACATCAGAGATGAGAGAATCACTGACCGGCTGCCTCCTGCACACCCTCTTCTGGGGATGGAGCCCACCACCCGGGCATGTGCCCTTGACTGGGATCGAACCTGGGACCCTTCAGTCTGCAGGCCGACATTCTATCCGCTGAGCACACTCGTCCCCTTGACCCACCCACTACACTTCTAGGCATTTATTTTTAAAACTGCAAATAACTGAATTGCCCGTCCAAAGACGAGTGGCTAGCTTCGTGGGTGTGTGCCCGCAAAGGGGTGTTACACCGCAGCCGAAGCAGGTCTGCGGGCAGCTGCCCGCCCGCGGAGGACCCGCACTCAGCCAGCACACAGGGTGTGGCCAGACGTGGGCGGTGGGGGTTTGAACCAGTGACCTTTCACGTTTCTATTCGTTCAAACAACAACTTGTTGAGCGGTATTCCAGGAAAGAGGGACACGTAACAGACGGAAAGCAAGCGAGCCCCGGGTTGGAGTTCCGTCCTGCCCAGCAGAGGGCTGGGGGTTTGACTCCGGGTCGGGGCACAGGTCAGGTTTCCGGTTCAGTTTCAGTCGGGGCGATCCGGGACCAGCTGGTCCATGTTCCTCTCGCATCCTGGTTTCTCTCTCTCAAATCAATAACCATACCCTGGGGTGAGGGTTTAAAAAAAAAAAAGTGGCTTGAAACCCTAAAACAAGTTCCTTTTTTCAAATCAAGTGAGATCGTTTTAGATTGTGTGCGGGGCCACCTTAGGGGCTCAGAGGAGGCATCTCTGACTGAGATGGGGACCTCTGAATACATCCAGCCGATTAAAATCCGGGGAAAGATTAAAATCCTATTAAATTCCCAGGTCAACACTGGGACTTTGTGCAGAGCACGTGCACAAAGCCCACCTGGGGGGAATCGGGGGGAGGGGCCTGTGCACGGAGGGGGGGGTACTGTGTTCTGGGGGGCCGGGGGGTAAAGGGTTACGGGGGCTGGACACCCATGGCCTCCCTCTGTTACAGCGCCCCTGCAGCTGACTGAGGACCAGGAGGAGCCAGCGAGGGGGCGGGACACCTCACCGCAGCCGCCGCCCCCTCCCCCCGCGACTCGGACGCTACTGCCTCCCCCCCCTCCGCCCGGCCCCTGCCCTGCTGCCCGACCGCCTGGCCCCCTACTAACCTCCCCGCTTTTATTTATTTTGGATTAGCCGGTTGCCCCCGCCCTCTGGGCGCCCAGGACCCACAGAGCTTTGTGTTTAGCTAGAGCAGGCCGGGCTGTGGGCTGCGGCCCCGGGTTCTAGGCTCCTGTGCCCTCCTTTTCTCTGCCCTCCCCCCCCCCTTTTTTTTTTTTTTAAAGAAACTTTTTTAAACTATTTCTAGGTTTGTGAATGTGAAGCCCCAGGCCGCCCGGGGCACAGGGCCAGGCTCCCACCAGCTGAGAACACACATGTGTGTGTGGGGGTGGCCCTGGCCCTCCCGCCTGGAGAGGACTAGGCCAGGCCGAGCCCCTGGGCCCCGTCCTGTATCATATGTAAATACTGTGAGGTGGGCCCCACCCACAGACCCAGCGAGGTCTCCCCTGTCCGTCCCTCCCAGACACCGTTACTGTACGCTTCAGGCCTCCTCCGGCCGAGCAGGCCCGCTCTCTCAGGCCCTGGGGGGTCAAGACCGTGGGCCTGCTCACCCCGAAAACCCAGTGTGGGGCTGAGGGGCGAGGAGGGCCCGCCCAGAGTCACTGCTGGAAAGGCATTAGCTCTCCAGGCCCCCCGCCCCTGCCTGGGTCGGGCCTCGTGGCTTCTGCTCTGAGCCCCAGGAGGGGGCATCGGGGGCCCTGGGACGGGGCGGACCCCGGGGAAAGCAAAGGGCTTCTCAGGGAACCCCCACATTCTCACTGAAGTATCTCGCCAGGACGGTCCCAGGGCCAGAGCCCCCGCAGAGGAGGGAGGCCCGGGGCCTGACCTGGGGCCCAGGTTGGTGTGGCCAGCCGAGGCCCCTCGCCCCTCGGTGTCCCCCCCAGGCCTGGGGCTGGGGACCCGCGCCCCCTCCTCCTCGGTCCCCACCATAGACCCCTTGGAGAATTCCTATCTGTGTGAGGTGCTTAACCTGTTACCCTGAGAACACAAAGCAATAATCTTTGTTACTGAGATCGCGGCTGTTCGTGGTTTTTTTTTTTTTAATGTTTCCTAATAAAAGAGAAGCTGCAATTTATTGTTTTTTATTTTTAATTTTCTACACATTCGAGCTGAGTCAGGAGAGACTTAGTGCTCCCTCCTCCCTTCCTGTGACGCCCCCACCCCACCCCCTCTCCTCGCCCGTCCCTGGGCTCAGGCCCTGGGATTCCCGTTTTCTGATTTGTCTGGGGAATTTTTTAAAAGATGTTACATGGTGTTTTTGAAGCCAGCAAGTTACCACCCTCCGGCATCTCTTCTCTCCACATCTGTAACTTCTTTTTCCGGGATTTATTTCCAGTTTTAAATTCCTAATAAATTATTTGAAAACGGTGCTGGGCGTGTGCGTGTGCGTGTGCAGGCAGGTGTGGTTTGCTGAGGACCGTGTCCGCTTACTTTCTCGTTCTCCTCCCGGAACAGTATTGGGTTCGCTCCCACGGAAACGTGCCTGCCGGGTGGCTCAGCTGGTTGGAGCGTCGTCCTGCTCACCAAAAGGTTTCAAGTTCAGTTCCCAGCCAGGGCACCTCCAGGCTGCTGGTGACCCTGGGAACCGGCCAGCCGACCGGTGTTTCTCTACATGGATGTCTCTCTCCCGTCATCTCTCTAAAAAGCAGTAAAAATGTATCTTCAGAGCGGTGCGGTGCTTGAGTGTCAGCCTATGAACCAAGAGGTTATGGTTCGATTCCCAGTGTGGGGTGTGCAGGGGGCAGCCAATTGATTATTGATTCTCATCATTGATGTTTCTATCTCTCCCTCTCTGAAATCAATTTTTAAAATACGTATTTTAAAAACATGTACTCGCGCAGAAACCGGTTTGGCTCAATGGATGGAGTGTCGGCCTGGGGACTGAGGGGTCCCGGGTTCGATTCTGGTGTGGGCATGTCCCCAGTAGGGGGTGTGCAGGAGGCAGCTGATCGATGACTCTCATCGATGTTTCTAGCTCTCTGTCTCTCTCCTTTCCTCTCTGTACAAAATCAATAAAATATATTTTAAAAAATAATAATAAAATAAATAAATAAAAACGTACTTGGGTGAGAATTAAAAAAACAACAACATGTAGCTTATTTGGATATGATTTGGGAAAACTATCAAAAAGACATTTTGAGAGAAAAACCTGAAAATGGTCTTATTTTTGTTAGGCGTGACCATGACATTGTAGTTATATTTTTTTACACATTTCTCCTTGAAAGCTTTTCTATCATATCAGAGGCAAAGTAGGGATGCCTATTCTGGCCATATATATATGTGAATCTGAATATATATATGTATCTCAAAGAGGAAGCAGGGGAGAGAGAGAAACATCAGTGATGAGAGAGAATAATTGATTGGCTGCCTCCTGCACACCCCACACTGGGGACCAAACCCACAACCATGTGCCCTGACCAGGAATCGAACCATGACGTCCTGGTTCACAGGTCGAAGCTCAACCACTGAGCTATGCCAGCTGGGCCTGGCCACTTCTATTCAACATATTGGAAAGGAAGAAGTAAAATTATCTGTTTGCAGATAACATGATCTTATATGTAAAAAAATAAATTAAAAAACCTCTAAAGATTACACACAAACAACTAATAAAAGAATTCATCAAAGTTGTTGGACACAAAAATCACACAAAAATCCATTTTCCTTTGCACATTAACAATGAACAATCGGGCCGAAACCGGTTTGCTCAGCGGAAGGATCCTGGGATCGCTTGGTTGCGGGCACGTACCCCGGTAGGGGGCGTGCAAGAGGCAGTTGATCGATGACTCATTGATGTTTCTTGCTCTATCTCTCTCCCTCTCTGTAAAAAAATCAATAAAATATATATTTTTAAAAATAACGAACAATCAGAAAAATACATTTAAAAACGATGAACTTAAGGAGGTGAAAGACTTGTACAGTGAAAACTACAAGATAATGCTGAAAGAAATGAAGACACAAGTAAGTGGAAAGATCCTATGTCTCCACTCCCTCGAGCACTGTGACTTTAAGCAAGTCACCTAAGCTCTTTGGGCCCGTTTTACCGTCTGCAACCGGGGGAGATGATGAAACGGGAGTAGCTAGCTGTGCCAGGAGCTTAAGGCTGGAAAGCAATGTCTATAGAGCCCGCCGCACAGAGCCAGGCGCACCAGCCCTCAACACACGGTGGCTGCTTTTAAGCATTTCCTGGCCAAAACCGGTTTGGCTCAGTGGTAGAGTCTGCGGACTGAAAGGTCCCGGGTTCAATTCTGATCAAGGGCATGTACCTTAGTTGCGGGCACATCCCCGGTAGGGGGTGTGCAAGAGGCAGCTGGTCGATGTTTCTCTCTCATCGACGTTTCTAGCTCTCTATCCCTCTCTCCTCCTCTCTGTAAAAAAATCAATAAAATATATCTTAAAAAAAAAAAAAAAGCATTTCCTGGAAGCAGGAGCCTTGTCTCCGGGGGGCCGGGCGTGTGACCTTGCCGGGTGCGGGCCTGCGTCACCGAAGGAGCCGGCAGCTCTCCTTGGCTGTTTTTCCACCCGAGCGTGTGCCGTTCCCAGGCTGGGAGCAGCCGCGGGGACACACCTGGGGCGGAGAAGGTCACGTCCGGAGCGGGGGCTGGAGCAGAGCGCTCACCGCTGAGTCCCGCCGGGGGCTCGGCCTGTCGCACACGCCCGTCTCTTTCCAGGAACAGAATGTTCTAGTGCGTGTGGGAACTCGTGCAGCCTGCCTCTGTGGAAAGCCTCCAGCTGGCGGGGGAGGGGGTGGAGGAGGAAAGTGGGGCGGTGAAACCCGCCTCTGGCCTCCAGGGGCTTCCACGCTCCCGCCCACGACGACAGATCCAGATCCAGCTCACCTCTCGGTCCTGCTGTGTGACACTGGAGCAGTTCCTTAACCTCTCTGAGCCTCCAGCGTCTTCTCTGTGAAATGGAGCCTGTGAATGGACCCACCTCAGAGGTGGGAACCAGGTTCTCAGCATGGGACCTGGCAGGGTTAGCGCCCGGCTAAATGGTAACCCGTGCTCTCAGCAGAGGGCTTGGTGGCACCAGCCAAGCCTCCTTCCCCAGACGCCCCCACAGGATCCTCTTTCCTTCTGACCCCGAAGCGTAGCATTCTGCTGCCCGTGCCTTCCCTTTCCTCAGGCAGCCCCCGCCCCCTGCCTCTGCGACCTCCTGCCCAGGGTCCCACCGAACCGCTGTCTGCGCAGCCCGCTGACAGCCGCTAGCCACGTACCTGGAGCCGCCGAACCCCTGCAACGCGGCTGGTGTGACTGAGAGAGTGGTTTTTAATATTATTGATTGTAATGGACTGAAACAGCCCCTGTGGCTGGCCGATGGCTACCCTATTGGGCGGATGGAGACGCGTGGATGGGCGGATGGAGACGCGTGGATGGGCGGATGGAGACGCGTGGAAGGGACAGGTGGAGGGGAACACCCGAGGCCACCGGGGGCAGAATGAGGCCTGAGCAGACCAGCCTCTGCCCCTCTGCGGGCCTCAGTTTCCCCATCTGCCTACTCGGCGCTGCGAGTGCTCTCGCATCCGCCGGAGGGGCCTTGCCCGGGGCTGGAGGTGAAGCAGAAGCCTTTGCAGGAGGGCACTTCTTCCCGGAGCCCAGAGCCGCGCCTGTGGAGGGGAGAGCAGAGGCGCCCGGGCCGCGGGCCGCCAGGCCCAGTGACGCCAGAGGCCTCCCCCGCCCTCCCCTGCGCAGGTGCAGGGCCCGGCTCGGGAAGGGCGCTGGGTTCTGGGTCCCAGTCCGCTCGGCCATGTCCGCTCCCCCGCAGCCCAGCCCGGGTCCTCTGGGCAGTGGCCGGGCATCCCAGAGGATGAGAGAGGGCTCCCCAGAGGATGCAGGCGATGAACGGCACTTTTCCTCTGTGATCTTCCTCCCTCCACCCCCCCCCCACCACCACCACCAGTGGAACCAGGGAATCAGGAGCCAGACATCAGACGTGTTCCCACAGAGGGGCCTCCCGGACACCCGGCTGCCCCAGACAGCCAAGGTCAGCGAGGACAAGGGGGTCTGAGGAGACAGGACAGCGGGAATGCTGTGCTCTCCGGGACTGGCCTCTGGAACAGAAAAAGGACATGTGAGCCCTGACCGGTGTGGCTCAGTGGGTAGAGCTTCGGCCTGCGGACTGCAGGGGCCCAGGTTCTTTCTGGTCCAGGGCAAGTCCCTTGGTTGTGGACACATCCCCAGTGGGGGGTGTGCAGGAGGCAGCGGATCGATGTTTCTCTCTCATCGATGTGTTTCTAACCCTCCCTTCCTCTCTGTAATATATTAAACATATTAAACAAAAAAAAAACAAAAAAGGAAAAAACATTTGGTAAAACTTAAAAACTAAGGATCTGTAAGTAAGCCGTGGGTTTGAGTTTATGAACACTACATTGGAGAGTAATAACATATCAATATTGGTTCATTAATCACAACAAATATCCTATCCTGAGATAAAATGCTCATAAAACGTAAATAAAATTAAAACGGGGTTTGCCGCAGAGATCGCACGGGGGCTCAGTGGGAAAACACGAAGTGAACAATGACAGAAGATCATGCGTCTCTGCTGTGGGAGCCCCCGAAGGTGGGTCTAGGGAGACGGCGGATCCAGGCTGCCTGGGCGAGAGCGAGGGTGCTGGGGGACAGGGTCTGCCGGGGAGGGGAAATTGCCCCACGCTGTGTGCACGCACTGAACGCCACTGAATTGTTCACTTTAAAATACAATGGTTCGCAGACCCGGAGCAGCTGGTTGTGGAACGACCAGAGCAACAGAGGCCAGGCCCGGAGCAGCTCGCTCCTCCCCTGCCCCTGCCCCAGGGCTGCCTCTCAGACATGGCGGGAAACTTTTGCGGGAACTTGAGGGTCTGCTGAATCAAGTGTTGAAGGCTCAGATCTGGATGTGTTGAGTTAGTACAGGGCTGGGGTGTTGATCTGTGAGTGCCTTGGGTGGGGCCTGGATGAGGCTGGTTGACCTATTTGGAAATGTCTTTTGTGTGAAGTGTATCATTGGGCATGTGGTGGTATTATTGATATGAGAAAATGCTAAGTAACTGATTTACTATCTGAAAAGGGATTTACTATCGGGGAAAGGGAGGGAGGAAGAGACTGAACATAAACTGCACCTATGGATGAGGACAATGGGGGATGGGGAGGGGGCGGAGGGTGGGGTGGGAACCTGGTGGAGGGGGGAAGAAATGAGGAACCTTTGTAACAATATGAACAATAAAGATTGATTTAAAAAAAAAAAGAAAGAAAGAAACATCGTTGAGAGAGAAACATCTATCAGCTGCCTCCTGCACGCCCCCTACTAGGGATGTACCTGCAACCAAGGTGCATGTCCTTGACTGGAATTGAACCTGGGACCTTTCAGTTTGCAGGCCAACACTCTATCCACTGAGCCAAACCAGTTAGGGCCCTTCTCTTTTTATTTTTTGGTAGTACTACATTGTATAAATATATCACAGTTTATCCTGCTGTTGAAGAATATATAGTTGGGGTTTTTTTTTCCATTTTGGGGCTATTATGAATAAAGCTGCTATGAATATTAAAAAATAATAATAATAATAAAATAAGTAAAATACAATGATTCGTTTATGCTAGCTGAAATTCACCCCCAAAGTGTTATGTTAGACATTTTTTTAAAATATATTTTATTGATTTTTTACAGAGAGGAAGGAAGAGGGATAAAGAGCTAGAAACGTCGATGAGAGAGAAACATCCACTTGTCCACTGAGCCAAACTGGTTTCGGCTTAGACATTTTTTAATATATATTTTTTTTTATTGATTTCAGAGAGGAAGGGGGAGAGAGAGGGAGAGAAACATCACTGATGAGAGAGAATCATTGATCGGCTGCCTCTCGCACACACCACACAGATTGGGCCTATAACCCAGGCAGGTGCCCTGACAGGGAACTGAACCGTGACCTCCTGATTCATAGGTCGATGCTCAGCCACGGAGCCACGCCAGTTGGGTCATGCAGACATTCGATACAATAGCTCTGAAAGCTTTTTTTATTCTGTAAGTCTTTTGGGGGGGCTTTCTTACAATCCCACCGTGGGAATGGGGAGGAAGCTGCTATTGGTACAGCGGGGGAAAGAAAAGAAATCATGTGCCTTAGAATCAGACAGGATTAGTGAGGACTAAGTCTGCGTGCCTCCTCTGCCGTTGGCTGGCTGTGTGGCCTGGAGCAGGTTACTTCGCCTCTCGGAGCCGGCTCCCTCACCTGCCAGGTGCGAGGTGGACGGCTCATTCAGCGGGACCCACCACGCAGACCGGGCGCACAGGAAGTCATGGAGGCAACGCCACGTGGACGGCGTCGATGGCTTTGCCACCCCCACCCCCAGCGATGAAGCTGGGCTCAGTGCCCAGGGGAGGGTAAGAAGGTCAAGATTCCAGGATACGTGATTCCAGAAATAACCCCTTTCCTCAAAAAGTGCTGATGACGAATGCGTGCACCTCCTCCTGGCAGGGCGTCCGGGCCGTCACCCGCAGCAGACCGGCTCAAGGACACCCCGTCAGCGGGGAGCAGAGCAAACACTCCGCCTTATCTCGGCCCCGGGCCTATAAGGCGGCCGCTCTCCGATGGAGTCAGTCCTTTCCCGCTCACCAGTCTCCTGACAGGATGAGGCTCCTGGTGCTGGCTGCTCTGCTCACAGGTAGGCGAGTCTCTCCGGGGCTAAGACCTCACTCTTTTGGGACGCGGGTCACAGGTCACAGGGCTGGCCAGACCTGGAATCTTTTATTATTTTATTTTGTTTTATTCATTAAAATATTTTCTTATTGATTTCAGAGAGGAAGAGAGAGAGAGAGAGAGAAACATCAATGAGGAGAGAGAATCATGGATCGGCTGCCTCTTGCACACTCCTCCATGGGGATCGAGCCCACAGCCTGCGCATGTGCCCTGATCGGAAATGAACTGTGACCTCCTGGTTCGTAGTTCGATGCTCAACCGCTGAGCCACGCCGGCTGGGCCAGACGTGGAGTCTTTATTCAGAGCTCCCTGTGGGGCGTCAGAGCTCCCATACTGGGATTCCCACAGCTCCCCCTCAGGCGGGCACCCTTCAACCCTCAGTGTGCACTCGGGTAACCCACTCTGAAAGGCCCACCCTGAGCATCCAGGCGAACGAAGACCCTCTTCCTTCTTCCTGCCCTGTGGCCTTGGTACCAGGTGCCCTCTGCCCAGCATCTATCTTTGCTTGCAATTCATATCTTGTTGTTTTTTTTTTTTTTTTTTACCTCATCCCCACCCCCATCTACATGGGCTCTGTCAGTGCAGAGATAGTGCTGTTTGCACTGTTTTTTTGTTTGTTTGTTTGTTTTTAAAATATTTTTTATTGATTTTTTTACAAAGAGGAAGAGAGAGGGATAGAGAGTTAGAAACATCGATGAGAAAGAATCATCGATCAGCTGCCTCTTGCATACCCCCCCCACTGGGGATATGCCTGCAACCAAGGTACATGCCCTTGCCTGGAATCGAATCCGGGACCCTTCAGTCCGCAGGCCAACGCTCCATCCACTGAGCCAAACCGGTTTCGGCTGCACTGTTGATTGAATGAATAAATGGAATCTGACACATTCCCAGCTCATCCATCCATCCATCGTTCATTCATTCATTCATTCATTCATTCAACATTGATGATATCAGAGCCAGCAAGGTATCAGGCTCTGGGTGGATTCTGAGGACTGAGAGGAAGGAGCCATGGTCCCTGTCGGAGGAACACACCCACACACACAGCAGCCTTATGCGGACTGGCCTCCGCACAGACAGAGCCGGTGGGATCTGAGAGAGAGAGAGAGAGAGGGAACAGGGGAGCAGGAGGAGGGTCTGGGGTGGCCATCAGAGCCGGCTCCTCTGGTCTGAGCAGGCTCCGGGCTCCTGCTCCAGGACACGCCTCTGCCCGCGGGGCTGCCGCCCTCCTCTGCCCGGGTCTGAGCACAGGGAGAGGGTCCGGGTCACACACCCGGGAACGAAAGGGCAAGGCAGGGGGCAGAGAGACAACAGAGGAGGCTGACGGAAACAGGACCCCAGTGTCACCTCATGCCATCTCCTCTCTAGGGCACCGAACCTCACAGGGGCAGGCTCTGCAAGTGGGGCGAAGGGATCCCGCGTCCCCGGGTCCAGGGGGCCACGCTTAGACAAACCCTCAGCCGGAGGCAGACTTTTCTAACTTCTTCAATCGACACTGATGGAGCACCTACTACGTGCTGGAACTTTAATTCCTGCACTGATGACTTCATCCATTGGCCTCATCATCTATTTATTGAGTGTCTACTACGTGCCAGGCCCAATGTCAGGCCCTGGGAATGAAAGCCCTGAGGCCTGTCCTGTGTGGACAGTCCTGTGAGAGGGAGGCACTAACGCAGTGGAGCGCAGACGGTGGAGGTCTATGAACAGAGAACGTGAAGAAAGGTGGTAGCAGGGTGGTCAGGACGGCCTTTGAGGAGGTGGCTTCTAAACCAGGATCTCCCAGCCTTTTAAAAGGAGACAAGTGTGCAGGCCGAGGGAGCAGCGGCTGTGTGGGCCGTGAGGCTGTCCCATTGGGGATGGGAGGCCACAGAGGCTCCTCACCGTCCTTACCCTCCTGCCCCACCTCAGCCCCACAGTCCCACAGCCCCCCACGTAACTCCCTGTTTTATTTTTATTTTTTATTTATTTATTAATATATTTTTATTGATTTTTTTACAGAGAGGAAGAGAGAGGGATAGAGAGTTAGAAACATCAATGAGAGAGAATCATCGATCAGCTGCCTCTTGCACACCCCCTACCGGGGATGTGCCCGCAACCCAGGTACATGCCTTTGACCGGAATCGAACCTGGGACCTTTTAGTCCGCAGACCGACGCTTTATCCACTGAGCCAAACCGGTTTCGACTATATATGTGTTTTTGAGTGTTTTTTTAAGTTTTCATTAAGAAGTCTGTAGTCGCTTTGCCAGGTGTCTGTGTCCCGCTGTGCTCCCGGGAGGCAGCTGCCAGCGGTCAGAGCGGGCAGCGGGGGCCTGAGGGCACAGGCCGACCCTGAGCCCAGGACGCGGCAGGGCCCACAGGGACGACCTTGACCGCGCTGTCTCCCTGCAGTGTGCGCCGCAGAGGCCGGCCTCGGCACGCGGGCCGTGTGGCAGTTCAGAAACATGATCAAGTGCACGATACCTGAGAGCGACCCCCTGAAAGATTACAACAACTACGGCTGCTACTGCGGCCTGGGCGGCTCCGGCACCCCCGTGGATGAGCTGGACAAGTGAGTGCTGGTCTGCGGGGGCTGGGGGGCTGGGGAGCTGGGGGGCGGGGGCTGGGGGGCTGGAGGGCTGGGGGGCGGGGCTGGAGGGCTGAGGGGCGGGGCTAGGGGGCGGGGGGGCTGAAGGGCGGGGGCTGGGGGGCTGGTCTGCGGGGACTGGGGGGCTGAGGGGCTGGGGGCCGGGGGCGGGGAGAGCCAAGGACCCTCACGAGGAAGCACAGGAAGGGGACTGCACACTTGCTAAGGTCAACCTATTTTCACCTCCTGTCACGTCAGCAAATGTTCAGGACAGTGGTTGGCAAACTCATTAGTCCACAGAGCCAAATGTCAACAGCACAATGATTGAAATGTCTTTGGAGAGCCACATTTTTTAAACTTAAACTCCTTCTAACGCCACTTCTTCAACATAGACTGGCCCAGGCCGTGGTAGTTTGCGGAAGAGCCACACTCAAGGGGCCAAAGAGCCGCATGCGGCTCTCGAGCCTCAGTTTGCGGACCACTGGTTCAGGAAGACTCTGAATGCAACGCTCACTGGTGTGGATGGGACGCAGAATGCGGGGATGAGAGGTAGTGGGCGCGGCTGCCCTCTAGTGGCAGGACATTGCCACACACACCATCCCAGCAAGGACTCCATGGGCATCTTCAGAATATAGGATGCGAAAGTCTTCCTGCAACCACTTTTTTTTATAAATATATATATATATATATATATATATATATATATATATATATTTTTTTTTTTTTTTATTGATTTTCCACAGAGAGGAAGGAAGAGGGATAGAGAGCTAGAAATGTCAATGAGAGAGAAACATCAACTAGCTGCCTCCTGCACAACCCCTACTGGGGATGTGCCCACAACCAACGTACATGCCCCTGACTGGATCGAACCTGGGACCTTCAATTGCAGACCGATGCTCTATCCACAGAGCCAAACCGGTTTTGGCAGCAACCACTTTTTAAATCTCCTTCAATAAACATGAGAAAAGGCCTGACAGTTCTTCAAGCCACAAAACTGAAATCTCCCGGAGCCTGTCTGCTAGAACATCCCCCCTGCTCCTGAGAGAGCAGATGCGGGGGGACCTGGTGCCCCCACACCTGCTCCTGCCTCAGCTCTTCCCCCTCCTCCCCACCAGGTGCTGCCAGATACACGACCGCTGCTACGACCAAGCCAAGAAGCTGGACAGCTGCAAGTTCCTCCTGGACAACCCCTACACCAAGAGCTACTCCTACAAGTGCTCCGGCTCAGAGATCACCTGCAGCAGTGAGTTTGCCCCTCGCCGGCTCGCAGGCCCGCGGTGGGCAGGAGGGAGCATCGCGGTGGCCATGGCTACCATCTGCTGATCCATTACTTGGTGCCAGGAACGGTACCATGGTGATCCCCATTTTACAGATGAGGAGACTAAGGCTCGTAAAGAGTGCTTGGTTATTTTTTTTAAAATATATTTTATTGATTTTTTACAGAGAGGAAGGGAGAGGGATAGAGAGCTAGAAATGTCAATGAGAGAGAAACATCGACCAGCTGCCTCTTGCACACCCCCAACCGGGGATGTGCCCGCAACCAAGGTACATGCCCTTGACCGGAATCGAACCTGGGACCTTTCAGTTCGCAGACCAACACTCTACCACTGAGCCAAACCGGCTTCGGTGAGTGTTTGGTTATTGAGCACAGATCTGCATGACTCAAAAGCCTCTGCTCTTAACTGCCATGCTATAGTGTGTGATTATTTCCCAAAAGAGCCCAGAACTAGCATTTCTTAGGTTCCTATGACATGCCAGGTGCTAGGTGAGGCGTGTGTGTGTGTGTGTGTGTGTGTGTGTATGTGAGGTAGGTTTTTTTAGCTCCATTTTACAGGTCAGGAAGCTGAAGCTCACAAACAGCCACTTGTCCAGAAATCACGGCTTCCCAGTGGCAGCTACATCGGAGCCCAGCTGCTTCTTTCCCCAAAGATTCTGGTTCCAACGGCCTGGGGATGAGATGTGTCCCTCCCTAAGGCAGCTCCGAGGAGCAGACAGCGGAAAGGTGTTGTTGCTACTGTACAAACATCAAAATAACCACATTCCAGTCCAAAGGTGCCACAGAACATGTTACCCAGAACCCCACCACCGTCAGGAGGGACGTGGTGTATTACAACAATTCAGTTCATCTCTCCGAATTGTGGGATCAAGCCCACAACCATGGCGTATGGGGCCAACGCGGTAACCAACTGAACCGTGTTCCCCTCTCCATTGCAGAGGCGGAAAATAAAGACAATACGTAAACACATTCGATGCTGAGAAGTACTGTAGAGGAAATAAAGCAGAGAGAGAAGGCAGAGAATGGTGGAGAGACGGAGGGAATGTGTGTGTGAGTGAACAGAAGGGGGTGAGGGAAGACCTCACTGAGAAAAAGGCATCAGCGGCATGACCTGGAATGAGGGAGTGACCGCTGGCGGGAAGCGCTTCAAAGGACTCGGGATAAGGGTTAGGAGCAGAAGCCTACCCACAATTCATTTGTGGTCTCTAAAGGGGCAGAAAGAAACAAAACTTTAATAAAATGATTGAAGGTAAGCAGAGATACACAGTTAATTAATGGAGAGTAAAGTTCAAATGCATTTTAAATGCTAACTATGCTGTTTCTTTTGGTTATAAAAGTAAACAAGGCCAAAGTAATATAATCTCAGAAATATATGTCATGGAAAGTGGAAGGCACCTATAATCCTATTACCCAGAGATAACCAGTTAGATTTTATATATATATATATATATATATATATATATATATATATATATATATATATATTTTTTTTTTTTTTTTCAAATTTTTAGGCTTTACTAGTTATTTTTCCCTTCAAGAAAATATATTAGGCTGAAACTGGTTTGGCTCAGTGGTTAGAGCACTGGCCTGCAGACTCAGGGGTCCCAGGTTTGATTCCGGTCAGGAGCATGTGCTTTGGTTGCAGGCACAACCCCGGTGGGGGTGGGGGTGGGTGTGCAGGAGGCAGTTGGTCAATGTTTCTCTTTCATCGCTGTTTCTGACTCTCTATCCCTCTTCCTTCCTCTCTGTAAAAAACCAATAAAATATATTTTAAAAAGAAAGAAAGGGAGAAAGAAAGAAAGAACAAAAGAAAATATATTAGGCCCAGCCAGTGTGGCTCAGTGGTTGAGCCAGGAGGTCACAGTTCGATTCCTGGTCAGGGGCACATGCCCGGGTTGCAGGCTCGGTCCCCAGTGTGGGTTGAGCAGGAGGCAACTGGTCAATGATTCTCTCTCATCACTGATGTTTCTATCTCTTTCCCCCTCTGCCTTCCTCTCTAAAATATATTTAAAAACAAGATATATTGGAAATATTTCCACATATAGACATAATTATTTTAAATGTCTGTATAATATTCTATTATTTTTTAAATATGAGCTTTAACGTAGAGAAAGTGGCTTACTAAACTTCACTAAGTTGAAATTTAAAGTACTTTGCTGCCTTAAGTATGTGCTTTAGTGTTTCCCACATGGCTTATAATGGCTTACCTGTGTTATCAGAGGCTGTAGCTATATGGGTGCGAAACAGACAAGACTTTCCCAAAGGCAGCGCTCACACCGAGGGTCACCAGATAAACGCAGGTTGCCCAGTTCAGTTTGACTCTGTCATGGACAACAAACAATTTTTTAGTCTACATCCCAAACCTTGCATTCACTGTTTATCTGAAATTCTGGCATTTTAATTGCCTAATCTGTCAGCCCTAAATCTGCACCAATGGCATGGCCACTGGATTATCCCCTTATTTCTCCTGCTCCTGGGCTGTGGACGGCAGGCTCCGCCTGGGCTCAGGCCTCTCCCCTTGCTCTTTTTCAGGCAAAAACAAACCCTGCCAGGCCTTCATCTGCGAGTGCGACCGCAACGCTGCCATCTGCTTCTCCAAGGCCCCTTACAACAAGGAGCACAAGAACCTGTCCGCCAAGTTCTGTCAGGACTGAGCCGCCTCTGTAACGCCTTTCCCCTGTGGCTCCGCCTCACGCGGTGCCCTCCATAAAGCACCTTGCTGAAAGGCTCGCGTTTGGAGACTGTTTTATTCTCGTCTGCCGAGCACCACTGGGCCTCTTCCCAGTCCTTCCGAGCATCACTCTTCCAGCCTTGGGGGCTGACTCACTCGGATATTTCCAGGAAGGGAGCACCTGAGGGTTTACTCTGTGCAGGGCTGCTCTCAGATTCCCTGGGGTGCCCTAAGACCATGGTCGGCAAACTGCGGCTCTCGAGCCACATGCGGCTGTTTGGCCCCTTGAGTATGGCTCTTCCACAAAATACCACGGCCTGGGCGAGTCTAGTTTGAAGAGGTGTCGTTAAGAGAAGTTTAAGTTTAAAAAAAAAGTTGGGTCTCAAAAGAAATTTCATTCGTTGTACTGTTGATATTTGGCTCTGCTGACTAATGAGTTTGCCGACCACGGCCCTAAGAAGTTTTGACGCTGTTAGTAAATTTCCCTTTTCTACGCTGCCGCTCAGAAGGAGAGGCACTAGGCCAGAGCTATGCAAAGGAAGTAGCAAAGATGGGGTTTGAACCCAGCGGGCCCAAGAGACACACACTCTTCCCCGCCCCCTCCCCTGCCTGACACAGTGAGCTCTTCTCTCAGCTCCAGCTCGGTCTCTCCTCTCATTTTTCTGCCTCTATTTTCAACCATTTTTCCTACAACCTTCTTTCTTTTTCTAAGCCCTACAAAGACTTTACCACACTCTACAAGCTGATTTTTACATCGCGGTCATCAAACATAATAAACACCCCTAGCTGGTTTGGCTCGTGAATAGAGCGTCAGCCTTTGGACTGAAGGGTCCCAAGTTCGATTCTGGTCAAGGGCACATGCCCAGGTTTTCAGTTCAATCCCCAGTAGGGGGCATTTAGGAGGCAGCCGGTCAATGATTCTCTCTCATCATTGATGTTTCTCTCTCTCTTCCTCTCCTTTCCTCTCAAATCAAAAATATATATTTAAAAAAATAATAAACAATAACAGCGTCTACTTCTAGGTCATTTACTGCATATCACTCTTTCCACATCCCATCTCATTCAATATTCAAACCGGCTCTGTGAGGTTGATAATATTGCCCCCATTTTATGGATGAGAAGCAATAAACTCAGAGAAGTCCTCCCCTATGATCACACAATTGGCATAGGCAGGATTTGACCAGGCCTGCCTGGTGGCAAAGCCTGAGCCAACCGCTAAGCCAACTTTCTCCACTAGGATTTATGACTACATCAGTTATGACTACATCAGCATCGAAATTCACCTGGTAGTGTGTGGAGGGGAAAGAAGAAAACTGAATTAGAAAAGCAAAAATGAGAAAGGACAATAAACACTATGAGAAGCCACCACTGATCAATTTTAACCCTCTGGGGGCTGACAGAACAGCCGCCGCCGCTGAGTGTATGGTGGGCAGCAGAGAAGTGTGTGTGTTTGGCTTTTCAAGAAGGGAATGTGTGTGGGTTTGTCTTTTGGCCCAATTTCTCCCTCATTTCATTCATCCAGTCACTGGGAATCAACTGCACCCGCGCCCCCTTAGGAAGGAAGAAAGGTAAGGTTATTAGGAGACTACTTATTCCCACTTTTTTCTTTACAATTATTAAAGCAAACAGCAGAGAGAACTGAGTCACCTGAGTACTCAAGCTGGATCTAAAAATATCCTCTGACGTAAAAACCTCCATTTTCCCATTATCTCAAGGACTGGGAGGTGGGGGAGGAAAGGAAAGATAGAGAGAGAGAGAGAGAGAGAGAGAGAGAGAGAGAGAGAGAGAGAGAGAGAGAGAGAGAGAGAGAGAGAATCAAGTCCTCATTACTGGAAACGGAATATGGGAAACTACAGGAGTGATGATTTAAATGAATAATTAAATATACCGCACTGAGAGTAATTCGCAGTCGGGATTACAGCATGGTGTTGGGTAGGAGCCACAGTGCTTAGCACACCTCGCACGCTCATTAACTGTTTAACGGAGGGGCGGTGTGGTGCAATGGTTTGCTGCAGTCGGAGGATAAACCACGTGGCCGTATTTACCTTTGCATCCACGTGATCCTCCGCGCCCGACCCTGTCAACCCGCCAGCTACGCCCCGGGGCCGGAGGGATTTCGGGGTAGAACATGTGATTGGACACTTTGTGGTCACGTGGCTCTCCGTTCCTCTTTCCTATTGGACAACAGGTCCTGCTTCCGGCCTCCCCGCGCACCACTTAGGCTCAGGCCCCGCCCCTCCCGGCGCAGGCGCAGTGGCTGGCCGCGTCCTCTAGGCGGCGCCCCGGGAAGGTGAGGCCCCGGGAGGAGATTGGGGGGCGAGGAAGGGGGTTGTGCTGAGGGCGAGGAGGTGGCGAGCACCGGGTGAGGCCCCGCTTCCCGCGGGTCTGGCCTCACTGGGCCTCGCACCCACCGCGCGTTTGCCCGCCTCCCCCGGTCCCGCCAGCTTCCAGGTGGTAACTCCGTCATTGCTTCCCCCCACCTCCCCGCCCTCCAGGGAAGGCGAAAGGGGGCTGGGAAAGTGGGGGGCTGGGGATCTAAGGGGGCGCGAGGGAAGGATGGCGAGGGGCGAGGGAATATTGACGGAGCCAAGGGCCTCTGGGGCGCCCCAAGTCCACATTGAATGCCCACCCCCACCTTCAAGCGTTTTGTTGTTTTTTTAAAGGTGAAGGTATTTGCAGGTTTGACCTCCATGCTTTTGCATTTGTTGTTCTCTCCGTTTGGGATGCTCCCCCTGCCCCCGCCTGGTGAATGCTTATTCATCTTAGGGGACCCAGCTTGGGACTTCTGGAAGTTTCTTGTGCCTTGCCCGTCCCCCCTCCCAAAGTCCAGGTTTCCGCAGCATTAAAGAGGAGAATGAGCTCGGAACTGGACTGGCTGACTGGTCGCCCCAGGTGACATCTGGGCAAGTTACATAAGCTTCAGGATCATCATCTTTCCAAAGAAATAACAGTGCATAGGATCATAGATAGATAGGGCTGGTTGTAAAAACTAGGTGGACCAATGCATGGTAAAAGGCTTCCTTCAGCGTTTGTTGTGTAGTAAATGTTTGATCAATATGATTTTCCCAAAGGAATGGAGAAGGAAGCATATGCACTTACTTTCTTTAGAAAGGTTTATTGCATCAAGACATTTGTACTTTAGCCCTAGCTGGTTGGATCAGTGGATAATGTGGCAGCCAGAACTGAAGGGCCCTGGGTTTGATTCAAGTCGAGGGCACATGCCCTGGTTGCAGCTCAATCCCCAATGTGGGGTGCGCAGGAAGCAGTCAATCAATGATTCTCATCATTGATGTTTCTCTCTCTCCCTCTCTCTTCCTCTCTGAAATCAATAAAATCTTATATAATAAAAGGCTAACATGCAAATTGATCAAATGGGGGAACAACCGATCGCTATGATGTGCACTGACCAGCAGGGGGAGACGCTCAATACAGGAGCTGCCCCCTGGTGATCAGTGCACTCCCACAGGGGGAGCACCGCTCAGCCAGAAGCTGGGCTCACAGCTGGCGAGCACAGATGCCATGGCAGGAGCCTCTCCCAACTCTGAGGCAGCACTACCGAGCAGCCAGCGGCAGCAGGTGCATCAGGCTGGGATGAGTGCGAGCGGCACAGTGCCTGGCCCCAATTCGGCCTCTTCCCTGGCCACCTGCCGCTTGGTGCACTGCTACATCCCCTGAGGGGTCCCAGACTACAGAGGGAGGGGCCAGGCTGAGGGACAAACACACCCACCAATGTACAAATTTTGTGCAACGGGCCTCTAGTGTGTGTGTGTGTGTGTGTGTGTGTGTGTGTGTGTATTTTTTTTTTAAATATATTTTATTGAGTTTTTTACCGAGAGGAAGAGAGAGGGATAGAAAGCTAGAAACATCAATGAGAGAGGAACATCGATCAGCTGCCTCCTGCACACCCCCCACCGGAGATGTGCCCGCAACCAAGGTACACGCCCTTGACCAGAATCGAACCCTGGACCCTTCAGTCCGCAGGCCGACGCTCTATCCACTGAGCCAAACCGGTTTCGGCTAGTATATATATTTTTAAAAATTATAATAAAACTTTTGCCCTAGCTGGTTTGACTCAGTGGATACAGCATCAGCCCAGCCTGTGGACTGAAGGGTCCCGGGTTCAATTCCAGTCAAGGGCACATGCCCAGGTTGCGAGGTCAATCCCCAGTGGGAGCATGCAAGAGGCAGCCGATCAATGATTTTCATCATTGATGTTTATCTCTCTCCCTCTTCCTTCCTCTCCGAAATCAATAAAAATAAATAGAAATAAAGTAAAATAAAACTTTTGTACTTTAAAAAACAAACAAACAGGTGCACAAAAGGGAATGTGGTTCTGGGAGAGAGTCCTGTGATCTAGGTAGAGGGGTAAATGGGCACAAAGGGAGGCAGGTGGGACGGCTTTCCTTCCCACCCACCTCCGTGTTCTAAGGACAGCGGCTGACATCTGCCCGCACTGCTGTGGGCTTCCCACACATCGCCGCCCTGCTTATGCTCCACAGCAGCCCGAGGAGGGAGCTCCGTTATCCCCGCCGACAGGAAGACTGGGGGCTGGATAAAGCCGCTTGCCCACGTTCACCTAACCCAGTGGTCGGCAAACTCATTGCTCAACAGAGCCAAACATCAACAGTGCAACGGTTGAAATTTCTTTGGAGAGCCACATTTTTAAAACTTAAACTTCTTCTAACGCCACTTCTTCAAAATAGACTTGCCCAGGCCGTGGTATTTTGTGAAGGAGCCACACTCAAGGGGGCCAAAGAGCCGCATGTGGCTCAAGAGCCGTGGTTTGCCGACCACTGACCTAACTAGTATATACCAAGAGATAGATGGAAATCCCAGTCTGTCCGTCCATGATACACTCCTTCCCTAGTAAATGGGGGGGAAAACACTGCTCTCCATTCTTGGGTGAGTTTAATTCTCAGGGAACCCCTCAGTCGGGGGCAGTCTGGGACAGTAGTCACCTGGCCTGGAATACTGAATTTCGTATCAGTCCTTCCTTCGGCCGTCTCAGGAAAAGTGTGTTCACAGAAGACTGACTTCTATGTACACGCCAGCATCTCCTGGCACGTCAATGCCTACGAGCTCCTGTGAAATGCTTCACACGGCGCTCCGGATGCAGTGTGCTCGGTAAGGCTGGTGTCTGAGGGAGAGGCGAGAGAGGGTGTGCCGTTCATGACAGCATGAAAGAGAAAACGCGTTAGTGGGAAGGATCCGCTGTTCTGTCCCTCTGTGCCTTTGTGACTCGTACTTCCTAAAGCCGCGACAGCAGAGCAGAAATGAGGAAGCACCCTCTGAAATCAATAAAAATGTTTAAAGAAAAAAGAAAAAGAAATGAGGAAGCAGCTGAGGGAGCGCCTGGCCAGCAGTCACGTCCACAGCGGGCTCATGCAGCTAGAACCCTGTGACCAGGGCAGTGACACCTGGGAGCGTCACTAGGAGACGTTTGTTATTCCAGCCGAGGGCACTCGGCGTGGACTCGGGACTGCCGTGCCGGTGGGAAGCTAAAGATGTCAAGTGAGGCGACCTGAGAACCAGCAGCTTCAGGAAATGTCAAGTTCCTCTTGAGACAAATGTTTTGCAAAGAATTCCATCTCGGGTGGAAATGTGAGCCAAAGGAGCATTCCCGAGGCCCTCACTGGGTCTGGTGAGGCGTGCCCACACTGGGTGTGAGAGCAGCCCTCCTTCCCTGGCAGCCTCCCTCCTCCCCATCCCCACCCTGAGCCATTCCTGGTCCCCTGGCCAGGCACCCTGCGGGCTTCCGCTGCTACTCCAGGCTGGCTTCTTCCTAACCATCATCTTCACGAGTCTTGTTGTTTAAAAGGAAAAGAACCAGGAGGGCCCAGCTGGTGCAGCTTACTTGGTTGGGCTTCATGCGCCCACAGGTTGCCGCCCATTCTATTCCGGGTCAGGGCACATGCGGGGCTGCAGGCTTGATCCCCAGTAGGGGGCGTGCGGGAGGCAGCTGGTGGATGTTTGGCTCTCACACTGATGTTTCTCTCCCTCTCCTCTCTCTCTCTAGAAGTCAGTTAAAAAAAAAAAAAAAAGAATTGTGAGGAAAATCTCCTTGGATTCTAGTCCTGGCTCTGAAACTACGTGCATGTATGACCTTAGGTAAGTCTGGATTTTAATTTCCTCAAAAAGGAATGGGGGTGGACTCAATGGTCTCATTCTGCCATTCCATGCATGACTGCACCATTTCCGGTGTAGAGTAAGGGCGGGGGAGATGGCACCCCCTATGTGAGCCAGTTGAGGGCAAGAGGTTGTACCTTCGTAGCCTCTTTACCCTAATATAGTGTCTGTCAGTAACATTATGAGATTTGTGGGTGAAAATGGTTTGAGCCAAAACCGGTTTGGCTCAGTGGAAAGAGCGTCGGCCTGCGGACTGAAAGCTTCCCAGTTTGATTCCAGGCGTTGTACCTTGGTTGTGGGCACATCCCCAGTAGGGATTGTGCAGGAGGCAGCTGATTGATGTTTCTCTCTCATCGATGTTTCTATCTCTCCATCCCTCTCCCTTCCTCTCTGTAAAAAATAAATAAAATATTTATTTTTTAAAAAGGCCCAGAAATGGCCGAAGCTGGTTTGGCTCAGTGGATAGAGCGTCGCCCTGCTGACTGAAAGGTCCCAGGCTCGATTCCGGTTAAGGCATGTACATTGGTTTCGTGCACATCCCCGGTAGGAGGTGTGCAGGAGGCAGCTGGTTGATGTCTCTCTCGTCGATGTTTCTAGCTCTCTATCCCTCTCCCTTCTTCTCTGTGGAAAATAAATAAATAAATAAATATATATATATATATATATATATATATATATATATATTTTTTAAAGGCCCAGATTGAATACAATTATTGGTACTGACTTAGGATAACTGAGTAAATCTGATTCAAAATACTTTAGGATCTCCACGTGCAAAAAAGCTGGGATGAGAGTACAAAACCGTACACTCTTCAGAGCTCCTCCGCGCTGCGGCACACCCCAGCTGTGCAGCTGAGCAGCACTGGGTGTTCGGAGCCGGCCACCCCGTTCACTGAAATCCGCTTCCAGGCAGGGGCAGGGTGAGCCTGCATTGCTCTCCCTAATTGTAGACAAAAGCCTGCGATTCTTCCGCCTGCTTCGCTTCCTGGTGAGACTGTGCAGAAAGCTCTGCCCTGGAACAAGGGTTCTTTCTGGTTAATGCAGTCACCAGGCAAGTCGTGCTGCCTCTCCGGCAGAAACAAATGAATTTAAGATCCCACTGGGAGTTCCCCGTTTCCTTCCTGCAGACCGGGTTCCAGGCAGGTGTCTCATTTGGGCTGAAATGAAGCAGCGATCCTTAGAGAACCATGTCGTCAAGTCCCGTTTGCTTATAGCCGATTAAAAAACAGAAACGCACAGCCCGCCTACCTGGTGTGCTATTCAAAAGGATTCCTTTATTCCTGGGTTAATAAACAATTAATTCATGGCATAGCTCATCTTTTCAAAAAATCAAACAGTGCAGTGAAAGACATTTAACCATTTAGAATAAGAAATTAAGTCATTCCCTACTCCCATTACCCCCCACACACACACACACACACATTAGTGCGCCCTGGACTAGTCCTCCGGAGACCATCCTGACCCACATATTCTGGGCCGTTTCTTCTGCCTGAGAGATAAAAAGGGACTGAAAGCATTTTCCCATCAGGAGAAGCTGCTGCTTTGAAAAAGTCTGTCTTCAGGGGCAAATCTCATCAACCGAAAGACTGAACTCCGAGGCTCAGAAACGAGCCGGAGAGGCGGGCAGAGCGGCGCGCGTTTGCTGCCCCCTACAGGCTGCACTCGGTGAGCTTCGGCTGAAGGAAGATCCTTAGGGATCTGAAAAGAAATGAAACAGATTGATGCCAAAATAAGGCAAGAGTGGAGAGGGGAAATGATTGGGAGCCAGCCTACCGTTCAATTATAGCATTAAAAAAATTACAGGCAGTCCTCGGGTGACGTCGGACTCGACACGAATCGTTTCGTGGTTACATCGCCATCTCCCATTTATTTATAAATAGTTCCATCATTTCAATGTATGTACATATATACTTTATATATTGTATATATATATATATATTTAATATATTTTATTGATTTTGTACAGAGAGGAAGGGAAAGAGATACAGAGCTAGAAACATCCATGAGAGAATCATCGACCAGCTGCCTCCTGCACACCCGCTACTGGGGATGTGCCCACAACCAAGATACGTGCCCTTGACCGGAATCGAACCCGGGACCCTTCGGTCCCCAAGCCTATGCTCTATCCATTGAGCCAAACCGGTTTCGGCTGCTTTATATTTTTATTATTTACTGTATTTACCACAAGTAAAGGTCAGGAATTATCTTTTAAATTTTTTTTTTTACTGTTTTACTTTTTTTAAAACTAATTTAAGTCTATTTTTTTAATATATATTTTATTTATTTTTTACAGAGAAGAAGGGAGAGGGATAGAGAGTTAGGAACATCTATAAGAGAAAAACATCCATCAGCTGCCTCCTGCACACCTCCCGCTGAGAATGTGCCTGCAACCCAGGTACATGCCCTTGACCAGAATTGAATCCAGGACCCTTGAGTCCGCAGGCCGACGCTCTATCCATTGAGACAAACCAGTTAGGGCTTAATTGTATACTTTTAAAGGTATGTGAATTATATCTCAATAAAGCTGTTATTTTAAAAAAACACACAACAGCCCTGATCGGTTTGGCTGAGTGGATAGAGCATCGGCCTGCGGACTGAAAGGTCCCGAGTTCGATTCCGGTCAAGGTTATGTGCCTTGGTTGTGGGCATATCCCCAGTGGGGTGTGTGCAGGAGGCAGCTGGTCGATGTTTCTCTCTCATCGATATTTCTGACTCTCTATCCCTCTCCCTTCCTCTCTATAAGAAATCGATAAAATATTTTTTTTAAATAAGTCTTTCAAAAAAAAATTGACTTTGCCAAGATTTAAAAAATAAATTAATTAAAAATAAAAATAAAAAAACACAACAGAAAAGGTTAAGGTAGATTTTGGGACATTTAAATAGCTATGTGCCTACAATTTGAAAATCATAGTCTTTCAAACAATATAGCTTAATGCACATCACAAAAATAAATTTATAATGGCCACCCATTAAGAAGCCTAGAACCGCCCTTGCTGGTTTGTCTCAGTGGATAGAGCATCATCCTGTGGACGAAGGGTCCTGGGTTGAATTCCTGTCAAGGACATAAACCCTGGTTGCGGGTTCCATCCCCAGTAGGGGTTGTACAGGAGGCAGCCCATCAATGATTCTTTCTCCTCATTGATGTTTCTATTTCTCCCTCTCTGAAATTAATAAAAATTATTTTTTAAAAGACAAAAAAAAGAAAAAAGGAAGCAGCAGCAGCCTAGAACCATCTGTGTCTTGTCAGTGCTCTCTGATGAACGGGGACTGGAATCGTGTCTCCGAGCGGCACTGACCTTGAGCAGCAGGACACGCGCAGAAGGCCCCGCCCCGGCTCAGGGACCGCCGGCCCCGTCACTGCGGGTCTATCAGAGGCAGCAGCTCCCCGCACGGCGAGTCCAGCTTCAGGCACGCCAGCTGGTCCGACCGCGTGGGCCCGATGTTCAGGATGGCGATGGGCAGCTTCTCCTCCCGGGCGGTGAGGATGAACCTGTAGCCAGAGTACACCTGGGGAGAGGGGCACAGGTTAGAGATCGCCGGACGCGGGGAGACATGGCTAGTGGGGGCCCCGGAGAGGCTCCCACGGGCAGTGCCCAGCCAGTACCTGTAAGGACGACCCCACCACCAGGAGGGAGTCAGCCTCTCGGACGCGCCTGTGCACGAAGTCGACCTTGTGGGGGTTCACCGTGTCCCCAAAGAAGACGACGTCTGGCTTCAGGGGGCCTCCGCAGCGCGCGCAGGGGGGCACCCGGAAGCTCCGCACCTGCTCCTCCGTGAGAAAGACGTCGCCATCGGGGGCCAGGCCGTGGCCCTCGGCGCTCCAGGCGGGGTTCAGGGCCTCGAAGCGCTCCTGCAGCTCCCCGCGCGCAGTGTGCTCCCCGCAGTCCAGGCAGAGGACCCTGCAGCCGGAGAGGAGGCCGGTGAGCGGCCGTCCTGGGAGCCACGTGCCCCAAAGACGGGCACCCCAGCGCTCTTCAGTCCCTCCACCCTCCACCGTCACTTCCTGTTCCCATCGCCCAGCGGCAGGAGCAGCGTCTCCTGACCTCCTTAGCTCCCCCCGTTTCTCCCCCTCCTCCCCCTGGGCACCTTCTAGAACAAGTAAGGTACCTGTTTTCTAACTAAAATCCCTGCTTACCCTCCAGCCAGCTCGTTTTTATTCTTAGCACGACTGCAAATTCTCTACGACATAAATGAGCTCCTTAGTACCAAAACCAGTCTCCCCCTCCATTCCCCCTCATCTACTGTAATTATTGCTATCATCACCATCCATTCATTTTTAAAATATTTTATTTGTTTTTTAATGTTTTTGTTGATTTTAGAAAGGCATAGAGAGATAGAAGCATCGGTCCTCAGTAGGGGGCTGCCTCCTACATGCCCCCTCCTGAGGACTGAGCCTGCAACCTGACCAGGAATTGATCCTGTGACCTCTTGGTTCATGGGTCGAAACTCAACCAACCACTGAGCAACATCAGCATGGGACTGTTTACATCGCCCCATGCCTGTGCTCGTGGATTCCTCTGCACAGGACTCCACTCCTGCTCTCCCCCCACACTGGAGTCCACACCTCCAAGTCCTTGACTGACCTGTCAGACTCACCTTCCGTCTCCAATCACACGCCTCCACCCCCAACTCCCCATCACCAGCTTTCTCTAGTGACTTGGGCTGAAACCCTGGGGGAAAACTTCTTTTACTCGATCTAGTCAACCATCAGATTATGTTGTGTATTTTTTATTTAAAAGGCCCCGCCTGCAATGATAAGAAATCTTGGATTTGTTTAAAAATGTTTTAAAGAGACAGGGAGAGAAGGAGTAAAGTAGGCATGATAAAAATCTTCGAGTCTGCCGAAACTGGTTTGGCTCAGTGGTAGAGCGCTGGTCTGTGGACTGAAAGGTCCTGGGTTCGATTCCGGTCAAGGGCATGTACCTTGTTTGCGGGTACATCCCCGGTAGGGGGTAGGCAGGAGGCAGCTGGTCGATGTTTCTCTCTCATCGATGTTTCTAGCTCTCTATCTCTCTCCCTTCCTCTCTGTAAAAAATCAATAAAAAAATAATTTAAAAAAAATCTTTGAATCTGCCAAAACTGGTTTGGCTCAGTGGATAGAGCTTCGGTCTGCGGACTGAAAGGTCCCAGGTTCAATTCTGGTCAAGGGCATTTACATTGGTTGTGGGCACATCCCTGTTAGGGGTGTGCAGGAGGCAGCTGGTCGATGTTTCTCTCTCATCGATGTTTCTAGCTCTCTCTCCCTCTTTCTCTCCCTTCCTCTCTGTAAAAAAAATCAATAAAATATATATTTTTAAAAATAATGGTATAGGGGAGTTCATTGTACTATTCTCTTTACTTTTATAGATTTTTTACATGGGGGGGGGGGCAAAAATCCCCCAAGAGTGATCTTTGACCGGTGATGTAGGTGGGTTTTGACCAGTGAGGGATGGGAGAGGATGGCTAAACACCCCAGGACCCATCCGTCATCAGTTCTCTCATCCCCCTGCCATCACTGAGTCCGGGTCCTCCAGGCTGACCCCGAGCCTTTTCTATTCCCGCTCGGCCTTCCTCAAATGCTATTTGCCATGTTGCTTTCTTGCTCGGAAAGCAGTAACAGCTCCTCTGGTCTCACAACAGTCCCAAACAGCCCTGCATGGTTTTCTGCTGTGCCCGCGAGCTGGGGTTAGCCTTCCCAGAGGCCAGACTGGTCTCTTCTGGGCTCTGCACATTCCTCATTTAGAAAGCTCTTTCCCCTCCTTTGCCTAATCAAGTCTGAGCCGGTCTCAAGCCCCACCTCACCCCAAAAGCTTCTCCGCTTTCTCCAATCTTCACTAAGTCTGTGTCTCTCAACTCATAAGGCTTGTCCTTCGAGGGCCACACCCTCTAACAATCATGTGAGGAGTCGTTGGTCATTAAACGCTGTTTTGGGGTCTCCCCCAGGCAGGTTACATAGTTCTCACACGTAAGTTGACCAAGTTTCATACGCTGGTTTCGCTCCCTCCACACAGCACACAGGACACACCACATGTTGGAGGCACCCAATAAATATTTTGTGATTGGCAGGAGGATCCTGGGGCTAAAGATAAGGCAGTGGCCTCTTAGCTACCAGTGTTTGCCAGGGCTGCACGTATTCACTCCAGCAATGCCTACTGGGCTCTGACTCCCACGCCGGCCATGGCGTTCTGGGTGTCTGGCACCAGAGACGCGGCAGTGTGTAGTGCCCGCTGTTGGTGCTCTGCTCACAGACCCCTAGGCCAGCCTCTGCACACAACTTCCTGTGGCCCAGCAAGCTTCCTCCGGAAGAGCAGAGTCAGTGTTAGGGAGTTAGTCCCCCAAGACTCAGAGTGACCTTTGACCAGCGAGGGAGGGGAGATGCTGGCCAAGCACCCAGCTGCCCTGGCTTTCAGGGAGAACTCTGAAGCATGCCTTCCAGACAGAGGGCCCCGCAGCCCGGAGCAGTAACCTGTTCACTAACCGCCCTTTTGGCTTTCCTGCCTTCCCCACTTCACTTCCCCACTCCGTCAACGAGATTGGTGGGATCAATTCCAGATTAAATTTGCTCCCAAATCCTGTTTCAGCACAACAGTGACCAGGTCAGCCACGGCCGCTGCCCTCACACGTTCTGCATTCACACCTCTCAGACGCGCCTGCACCTGTGCATGCATCCGTGCAGCTCGGTGAGGCGCCGACTCCCCGCCTTGGTGTGCAGGGCATCCACGTTCTGGGTCACCAGCCAGTGCAGCTTCCCCCGCCTCTCCCAGCGGCTCAGGGCCCAGTGGGCAGGGTTCGGCTGCCGGGAGGAGAACTGAGGCCAGCCCACGAAGTTCCTGGCCCAGTACCGCTGGCGGGTCGGAGCGCTCCGCACGAAATCCCGGTGCTGGATGGGCCTCCGGTCAGTGCGGGCGTAGAGCCCCACCTTCTCCGAGCGGTAGTCCGGGATCCCGGACTCGGTGGAGACCCCGGCCCCGGTCATCACCAGGAGTCTCTTGGAAAGAGTGACGAAGCGCTGCAGCTCTTTGACCTTCTCGGGATCCACGGGAGGACTCGGAGGCACAAACAACCCCACGGAGCCGTGCGAGCACTGCTGGCTGAGGTTGGCCACCCGGCAGCCTCTCACTGCCCTGAAGGGCACCCCGAAGCTCATCTTCATTCTGGAGAGAGGGGAACCTCGCGTGAAAAACCAGCTGACTGATGGATTGGTTTAGGTAAAACTGATATATATTAGCTTCAGGTGTACAGCAATGACTCAGTATTTGGATATATCATGAAATGATCAACACAATAAGTTTAGTTATATCTGTCACCAGTTATAAAAATGTTATTTTTGGCCGAAACCAGTTTGGCTCAATGGATAGAGCGTCAGCTTGGGGACTGAAGGGTCCCAGGTTCGATTCCGGTCAAGGGCATGTACAATACCTTGGTTGCGGGCATATCCCCAGTAGGGGGTGTGCAAGAGGCAGCTGATCAATGACTCTCTCCCATCGATGTTTCTAACTATCTCTCTCCCTTCCTCTCTGTACAAAATCAATAAAATATATTTTTTTTAAAAAGAAAAAAAAAAGATGGTTTAAAAAAAAATGTTATTCTTGTGATGAGGAATTTTAACATCTACTCTCTTAGCAACTTTCAAATATGCACTACAGTATTCACCATGCACTTATTTCATAACGGGAGTTTTATACCTTTTGACCACCTTTACCCGTTTCTCCCCCACCCCCACCCCAGCCTTTGGCCCCCACCAATCTGTTCTCTGTATCTGTGAACGTCGGGGGGAGGGGATGGCTTGCTTGTTTTTTATAAATTCTTTTTGTTGCTGTTTGTTTTTCAGGCTTTTAAAAATGTTTTTAAAAAACAAAGGTAACCGTCGGTTGCTGAGCAGATAAACAAAATGCGGTCTGTCCACAAAGTGGAGTATCATTCAGCTATCACAATGAATGAAGCCGGCAGGAGTGGGCCTGGGAAAAGGGAGGTGAGAGCTAAGACTGGCAGAGCAGGGTGCGCGGTGGTAGCTGACTTAGGAGGCCACAGTGACAGTGGGGAGGAAGAGAAGGGTCCCAGAGACACTTAGGAAAGGGCCCCAGTATCTCATGGTTGGTTTGACATGGGGTTAAGGAGAGGGAGGAGCAGATGAGTTAGGGTACCAAGCCTGAGCGGCTGGATGCCACTAGAAATACTTTCCACTAGAAAGGTACAGCCCCCTTCCCTCCACTCACCCTACAGTGTATACTTATAATCTTACTTTGAAACCCAAATCAATCATGTGTAAAGTGTGGGAGGGCGTGAGCCAGCTCAGGATCTGATGACTCAGGGGCTCCAGGCTCACAGAGAAAACTGGCCCTTTCCCCATTCCCCTTCAGGGAAAGGTTCAATCATCCCTCCTGGCCCATTTCACGCTGCCCACGGCCTCATTACTGGCCAGCAAACGCCTGAATATGTAACACCCACAAGTGCACACTGATTCCAGCACCCCTCCTGGGTCCCATGAAGTCCACCCGAAGCCACAAGCCTACCTTTTTATTCTGTTTTTAATCATCTCTTTTGGTCGAGAAGTCCTAATGCCTTCCGCAAACAAAGCCGTCTCCACACGGGGCCATTTCACAGCCCGAGCCAATCTTACCTCCCTGCTCTGCGCTGCTGCAGCCATCAGATGAAAATTAACTTAAAGAGGCTTTCTGCATTCAAGGGAACTGCATATTTTGGTGTGTTTTTCTTTTTTTTAAAAAGAGGGGGCTGTAAAAACATAGCCCACTTAAAAAAGGAGGGAGGATAAAGTAAAAATTGGTAAAGCAGTATCATTTAAGGCTCTATTGTGAACCTCCCAGTAACACCAGCTGGTCAGACATGAATTCCTTATAAACTTCAAGAGGTTAAGTGGCTTACCTCAGTATCCTTTAAATCCCATAATGCCTCATCGCTATTCCATCTACGACTGCATCTGCAGATGTCTCCCTCAGAGGAATATACTTATATTTTAGTTAATACCATCCCTTGGGGAACTTTGTGTTCCGTAACCCTACATCCCGTTTTCTAAATTAGAATTATCTTATTTCATTATTATTATGTTTTAATCCTCACCTGAGGATATGTTTTTTCCCCCATCAATGTTTCAAGCAAGGGAGAGGGGGAGAGAGCAACATCGATATGAGAGAGAACAATGATTGGCGGCCTCCATACAGCCTTGAGGGGATCAAACCCACAACTGAGGTGTGTGCCCCGGCTGAGAACTGAACCTGCAACCAGAACTACCTATTTCCTCACGCACTAAGAAAGCACATTTGAGTTCTAGTGTGCCAGGTGCTAGTAAAGTTGTCTGCTCAGACTTTTTGTTTTACTGATATAATTGAGCACACGCACACCTCTTGTTTTTCGTTTTCCCCATGTCATTTTAGTTACTCTCAACTGCAAACAGCTACTTGCCTACAGCAACAGTGGTGAAACCCGGCAAGTCATCATACCCCCGTGTCCGCGTCTCTAGCTGCAAACACACGGCGTTGGCATTGTTTGGTAGAATACAGAACTCCCCTCGTCACGTGCCCCCACATGCGAACGTTATTTTATGTTTGGATTTCCAGATTGGATTCGGGACCCCGATTTCTCCTTGGCATTCCACGTGAACAGCTACACAAATGGAGTCCTAACGCCTGAGACCACGGGCTGGGGGAGCCCCGCTGGAAACACGCCCCGTTGGGACAGCTGCCCTCTGCCAGGTCCCCCGGGACACGGAGGGGACACGCCGTCCCTTTAAGAAACCGCGGCCTCCGGAACCTCGCAGCCCGCCGGAGCGCACTTACCTTCACAGCTCAAGGGACTGACTGACACTTCACGTCCGACAGCGAGCGGACTGGCTACATTGCATCTTGGGTAATGTAGTTTGCGAAGCTTAAGTAATGCGGACACTACAAGTCCCACAATTCTCGGGGTTTCACAGTCGCTGTAACCAGGTCGTCCAGCTGCGCCCCCTGAGGGCTCCTTGTGGTGAGAGATTTTGAACTTTCCTCCTGGATGTGCTGCTCTCACCTAAGCGACACCATGTATTGTCCTCCCTGAGAAGTATTCAGAGCGTTACACCAACTATATATATATATATATATATATATATACACACACACATACACACACACACACACACACACACACACACACACACACATATATATATATATATATATATATATATATATATATATATATATATATATATATATAAAGCCTGCCCACTGGCCAAAATATATATAATTTGTTTTTTATATATATTTTATTGATTTTTACAGAGAGGAAGGGAGAGGGATAGAGAGCTAGAAACATCAACCAGCTGCCTCTTGCACACCCCCTACTGGGGATGTGCCTGCAACCAATGTACATGCCCTTGATCGGAATCGAACCCGGGACCGTTCAGTCCGCAGGCTGACGCTCTATCCATTGAGCCAAACCGGTTTCGGCACACCAGCCTCTTTAAAGTGCAAAATCATACATCTAAACAGCCCTTAGGAATTCATCCTCTCTCTTTTTTTGTTTATCCTCACCCGAGGATATTTTTTTTCCCATTGACCTTTATTTTTATTTATTTTGAAATATATCTGTATTGATTTCAGAGAAGAATGGAGAGGGAGAGAGAAATATCAATGATGAGGAGAATCACTGAGAGGCTGCCTCCTGCATGCCCTCCACTGGGGATTGAGCCCGCAACCCTGGCATGTGCCCTTTACTGGAATCAAACCCGGGACCCTTCCACTCACTGACAGGGTCAAGTTCCCACCTTGCAGTGAGTGGTCAAGTAAATTCACAAGTACCTGAAAACTTGATGTTTTTACATACTCATGAACAACTAGAGCCAACTCTCACATACAGGGACAAATGTGTTTACCCACTTGGCTTCTCCAATTTTATCTTCCATCTTGCGCGTTACTAAGTTAACCACCACAAAGCCTGGTTTGCACTCTGGGGAAACACCTGGGGCATCAAGTCGATTTTCAAGCTTCCCACTTGTTTCAAATGTATGACCTCTGAGAACCTCTGCTCTATAGCATCGCCTAAATAAGACACCAATCATCTGTAAGTGTTTGGGACATAAGTAAAGAGCAGTTAACAGGGACCTTGAAGACTACTGTGGAACCACTTCCCCCGTTTAAGATAATCTGAAGCCCCGAGGAAGAGGATGGAGCCGGAGTGAGGGTATGAGGCCTGGTCCTCCCCCTGAATGTGCGGAGGTAAATGCTGGAAAGGTAACGAGGGCAGTAGTTTGGGAGCAGGGCCTCCAGCAGCTGCTGGGCCAGGTCACTCAGCTGGAGAACCACCTGACATCCACAGCCTTTGTGCCTTCCTTAACCTGCCCACCGGCCAACAGGAAGTACCAAAATGCAGACTGGAACTTTCACCAAGTCAAACGGTTGTAAGCCAGAACATTTTCTGCACACGTGAGTATTTGATGAAAACCGTGGAAATGCCCCCAAAGTGACACTCCTCCCACCCCAGCCCAATTTTATAATGGAATATTTCAAACCCATGTTATTTCTTCAGTTCTCCAAGCAGGGTGAGCATTATCAATAGAGACTGGTAGGATTGTATAGCTATTGTGCTTTCAGACCCCACAAAATCTAATGTTCTGGGGAGAAGTTAACTGAATTTTCCATTTTCTCCTAGTGCTGGAAAGTTCTCTGTGGAGAATGAAGTCATCCAAGAGAGCTGGTGAAACACCATTCCCATGATAGCTACTGACAGGAGGAAATGAGCCACCCAATCAAGACATTCTCAAGGGCTAAGTCCTTTTTATTTCTCTTTTTTTTTAAAGATTAATTTTATTTTTTATTATTTGTTTTAGATAGAGGAAGGGAGGGCAGAGAGAGAGAAACAGATCAGCTGCCTCCTGCATGCACCTGATTGAACCAGCAACCTGGGCATGTGCCCCAATCAGGAATCAAACCGGCAACCTTTCAGTGCACGAGACAACGCTCAACCTACTGAGCCACACCTGCCAGGGCTCCTTCTATTTCTCACAACTCCACCACACCAAAAATAAATGACTGAGTCATGGATTATATCAAAGCAAATTAATCTAAATTAATCAGATTGTTGATGTTGTTTTTTTTTTGGCTGGTTTTTCTTTCTTTTTTTAAATATATTTTATCGATTTTTTACAGAGAGGAGAGGAGAGGGATAGAGAGTTAGAAAAACCAATGAGAGAGAAACATCAATCAGCTGCCTCCTGCACACTCCCTACTGGGGATGTGCCCACAACCAAGGTACATGCCCTTGACTGGAATCGAACCTGAGACCTTTCAGTCCCTACACCAACGCTCTATCCACTGAGTCAAACTGGCTAGGGTTCTGCTGATTTTTCTCACCCCGGCATTTATAGCTGGGTGAAAAAAAAAATTAACTACACACCAGCATCATACAGGCCTTTTGAAGATGTTCATTTTTGCATCCACATGCCAAATACATGAATATTCACTGAACAATAATTTAAATGTTTCATGTTTGAAAATTTTAAATAATAAAATAGTGAGGAGAAGATTTCTCTCTCAGAGACTGCTATTTGCATCTTAATGAATAGCAAAAACCAGAAGTATTTTGGAGAATATAGCTCAAATGCAGGTAGCAGTTTCTGCCAGCTTTCCACTTGCAGAGGGAGCACAGCAATGAGAGTGATCGTCACTTCAAACTTCATGAGCTGTGAACATTGCTGTGGAAATAGCTTCTCTTTCAGCCTCTCTCTGTTAAATTAAGATCTCCACAGAAGATTCTTTTATATTCAACATATAAGTAGTATATGATCCAGAAATTCCACTCCTAGGTATATACACAAAAATTGAAAACAAGGACTCAAACTGATACTTCTATGCCCGTGTTCCTAGGAGACTATTTACAAGAGCCAAAAGGTCGGTTGAGCATCCTCCCATGCACTGCAAGGTCTCAAATCCCGGTCAGGACACATGCCCAGGTTGTGGGTTTAATCTCCAGTGGGGGGCATGTAGGAGGCACCCGGTTGACTCTCTTACATATCAATTTTTCATTATTTCTCAATCAATAAAAACATTTTTTAATTTTTTTTAAGTCTTTATTGTTGAAAGTATTACATAAGTCCCCCATTTCCCTCCCATTGACCCTTGTAGCCCACCCCTACCCCCCACCCCAGGCCTTCACCACCCTATCGTCTGTGTCCAGGGGGTATGCATATATGCATACAAGTTCTTTGGTTGATTTCTTCCCACCCACCTACAACCCCACCTTCCCAGAAATAAAAACATTATTATTATTATTATCATTATTATCATTATTATTATTTTTTTTAAGGTAAAAGCAGCCCTAGCTGGCTTGGTTCAGTGTATAAAGCATCTGCCTGCAGACTGAAGGGTCCCAGGTTTGATTCTAGTCAACAGCACATGCCCGGGTTGTGGACTTAATCCCCAGTAGGGGGCGTGCAGGAGGCAGCTGATCAGTCATTCTCTCTCATTGATGTTTCTATCTCCCTCTCCCTTCCTCTCTGAAATATATATATATATATATATATATATATATATATATATATATAAAATTACATTTTTAAAAAAAAGATAGAAGCAATGCATGCCCATTGTAGAATGAATAGATAACATAATTCCATACAACAGAGTAGCAGTCATAAAATGAAACTGAAATATACCACAGCATGGATGGACATTAAAAACATGAAACAAGCCAGACACAAAAGGTCAAATATTGGATGATTCTGCTAACGTGAGGTACTTAGAATAATCAAATTCATCGAGACAGGGAGTAGAATAGAGGTTGCCAGGCTGTGGGGGCGGAACATGGAAAGTTAGTGTTTAATGGGTACAGAGTTTCAGTTTGGAAGGATGGAAAAGTTCTGGAGATACAGAGCAGCTATGGTTCCAATCCATGTAAAATGTTCTTGATGCTACTGGCAAGCTTTGTTACGCATATTTTACCATAATGAAAACATTTTATTTTGGAGAGGACAGCTACCCTGTGAATTGGGAATCAAGTGAACAGTACCCTAACATTGAGCCCGTTTCTCATCCGCCCCAATTCCTTGTCTGCATTAAATTACGAGCATGTTCCCTCCCATAATGCTTTGCTTCATCCTCCACCAAAATCTGGTGAAACGAAATAAAGCAAGAGAGTCTTCAAAAACAGCTTATGCATTTTCGAGAGATCCTGAGTTGGCTGTACAATTTTCAGCCAAACATTAATTGAAAGTTTTCCCACGAGCTTCAAACTCGCCTTTTTGAATTAGGAACCTTGCTTACTGGGGACGATGAGCAGGCGGGGCTTTCGTCAGCTTTGCGCAGTGGCAGTATCGTAGCCAATGAGGTTTATCCGAGGCGCGATTATTGCTAATTGAAAACTTTTCCCAATACCCCGCCGTGACGACTTGAAATATAGTCGGCACTGGCAATTTTTGACGGTCTCTACGGAGACTGATCTCCTCGGTTAGAAGGAAAGAGCCACTTTGTCGTGCAGTCTGTTAGGATTAGGGGCAGAAGTCGTCTTTGCTGTTCAGGTCTTTACCTGCGAGAAGAGGCTCGGACCTGCTCTCTCTCGCCCACGCTGCATCGTCTCGTCTTTCCCGCGCGGACACCCGAGATGCAGCTGCCCCGGAAGTGCTCCCCGCGGCCCCCGCCCCCGGCATCTGCGCCCGCCCTCCCGCTACTTGTTGCTTTTCTGCTCACCCTCGCTTTCAAAGCTGCCTTCCCGCCGCTCCTCCCTTGTTCTCCGAATTCAAGTCATTACAATCATCTCTGTGACGTTATGCTGATTTGCATAAAATCCCCCAGCATCCCCAGCGAATGTACGCTCCTTCCCCAGAATCTGGGCGTTTCCACGCGAGATGGTCCAACAACAAGAAACCTCGCGTGCAGACGGGGCCTGAGATAGAACCTCCCCACGGGGGACGGCTCAGATCCACGGCCTCGCCCGCAGGCGCTCACCCTCGGCGAAAAGGCCGTTCCCGTCCGCCAGGGAGTGTGGCTCGCCGCCATGGCGTCAGCTTTGCGCAGTGGCAGTATCGTAGCCAATGAGGTGTATCCGAGGCGCGATTATTGCTAATTGAAAACTTTTCCCAATACCCCGCCGTGACGACTTGAAATATAGTCGGCACTGGCAATTTTTGACGGTCTCTACGGAGACTGGATCTCCCTGGTTTCAAAGAGAGTATGTGTACTTACTTCCCTTTACCAGCTTTTCGGCAATTTAAGCTTTTCCTGTCTCCTTTTCCTTAGTCCTGTCTTGTTGTGTGATGGTATGTGGGGGTTGTGGCCTCCCCGAACCTGGCATTGCATCCCTGAGGTTGGTTGTGGCAGCCTCACCTACACACCCAGACTCAGCCAACGACTGTGTCCACTTCCCTTCCATCCCTACTGTGCGGTAGGCGACCCCCTTCAGAGGGATCACAGATTCGCAGACTTGGAAGGGAAATAAAGTATCGCATCTAAGAGTATTGCCGATCTAAGAAAAAAAAAAAAAGGTTGCTTTAGCTGGGTTGTTCAGTGATTAGAGCGTCGGCCCGTAGACAGAAGGGTGGCGGGTTCGATTCCGGGGCGCGTACCTCGGTTGCGGGGTCCTTTCCCGGCCCGGTTGGGGCGCTTGCAGGAGAAAACCAATTGATGTGTCTCTCTCACATCTATGTTTCTCTCTGTCTCTCCCACTCCATTCCATTCTCTCTAAAAAAAATCAACGGGAAAAATATCCTCCGGCGAGGATTAGCAACAACAAAAAAGGTAGATCATTTTGATTCATTCACACCAGATGGCTACTGTCGTTTTAAAAATTTGACAATCTCAGTGCCCCTTTATAGTCAGGTATTGCTTTTTTTAAAAAAAATATATATATTTTATTGATTTTGTACAGAGAGAAAGGGAGAGAGAGAAACATCAATGAGAGAGAGCCATCGATCAGCTGCCTCTTGCACACCCGCTACTGGGGATATGCCCAAAACCAAGGTACATGCCCTTGACCAGAATCGAACCCGGGTCCCTTCAGTCCCCAAGCTGACACTCTATCCATTGAGCCAAACTGGTTTCGGCAGGTATTGCATTTTATGGCACACCAGCCGAAAATTGGTGTTTTATCGTCTAAACAAGTCTCCTTGATTCTTTCCTTAAGGACATTGAGTTTTTGAAGAGTCCAAAGCAGTTACCTTGCAGAACGTCCCACATTCTGGCTTCACCTGATTATGTCCCCCTGTGGCCTTAACATGTCCTTCTGTCCGCTGTACTTCTTGTCAAGTGGAAGTTAGACCTCAAAACTAGATTCAAGAGCTCCACAGAGGCGTCTTTGTGAACTTGTATCTTCCACTGTCCGTGATGCTGAGTGTGAGCACTTGGTTAGGCAGTAACTGCTCGCTCTCTCACTTTTTTTACTGTGAAGTGCATTTTGCCTTAGGTAATCAGTTATCTGTGGATGAATGAAGCTTAATACAGAAACCATTCCAGACTAAAAGCCCTTCTCTTTTCACACCCACTGCCTTGCACCACTTCCTGACCAGGCGCCAAGATGAGTGAGATAAATTAACATCCGTTCTTCTGTGGAACGCAAGGTAGGTTTCCTGGGATCAGGGCCTGTGTCCCCCAACAAGCCAGGGTGTCAGAACCGAACAAATGTGATGGACAGAGGGGGTCCGTGATCACTGCTCAAAGGGGCATCCTGGAGACTCACATTGACTGTGGGACCTGTAAGAGTTGTCAGTAGGTGCCATCCAGAGTCTGACGTTTCAAGGAGCTACAAATACCCTTGACGGTCTACTCTGATAATGCACGCCAACCCTTTCTTTCCACTCTCGCTGCTAATCTGGGTGTCAGAACAGGCCTGAGAAAATAGAAGGTGGGTCCTTCTTCCCATGGCAACTTTTGTATGGATCAAAAAGTGAGTTGGGGCCCGCCGGCTTGGCTCAGTGGTTGAACGTTGACCTAGAAACCAGGAAGTCACAGTTCGATTCTCAGGGCACATGCCTGGAGTTACACAGCTCCAATTCCAATAGGGGGCATGCAGGAGGCAGCCAGTCAATGGTTCTCTCTCATCATTGATGTTTCTATCTCTCTTTTCCTCTCCCTTCCCCTCTGAAATCAATAATATATATATATATTTATATTTAAAATATAAAAAATAAGTCAGTTGGTTGAGCTTCCTCCCATGCACAAAAACATCGCCAGTTTGATTCCCAATCAGGGCCCATACCCGGGTTGAGGGTATGATCCCCAGTAGGGGGTGTGCAAGAGGCAGACAATTGGTGGTTCTCTCTCATCATTTAAAAAAATGTGTTTATTGCCAAAAACAGTTTAGCTCAGTGGATAGAGTGTCGGTCTGCGGACTGAAAGGTCCCAGGTTCGATTCCGGTGAAGGGCATGTACCTTGGTTGCTGGCACATCCCCAGTGGGGGGTTGCAAGAGGCAGCTGATCAATGATTCTCATCGATGTTTCTAACTCTCTATCCCTCTCTCTTCCTCTCTGTAAAAAATTAATAATATATATATATATATATATATATATATATATATATATATATTTAAATGTGTTTATTGATTTGAGAGAGAGAGAGGAAGGAAGAGGAAGAAAGAAATATTGATATGAGGGTAACATTGATCAGCTGCCTCCCAACCAGGGATTGGACCGGAAACCTGGGTTTGTGCCCTGACCGGGATTCGAGCCGGTGACCTTTCGGTGCATGGGACAGTGCACACCGGCCAGGGCCGCAGTAAGTTTCCCCGTGACAGAGCTGTGAGCCAGCTGTCTTCTGAGACGGACACTGAGGGCCCCGGGCATGGAATATGTTTAACCCAGAGAAGCCGGTGAGCTAGCAGACATCCCGCTGTCCTGAGAACACTGAGAGGCTGTGTGGGGGCTGGTGGCCCCTTTCCCTGCTGACATAGTCCTTGGGGTCCCCCTTTTTCATCCCCGGGAGCCAATGGGTCCAGGCCGGCTCGGGAGCTGTGGGAAGGTTGGGTGGGGTCCGTTCCATCAGGGGCTGATGTTTCCAAGGATATTTGCTTACATGGAGGAAGGGGAGCGGGTCAGGATTTCAGAACAAACAAGTGTTAGAACCGGATATGGGTCCCCCTCCCCCCCTCTCCCTCCCCTGGGAGGATCCTGTGAAAACTGCAGAGCGCATCCACACACACACACACACACACACACACACACACACACACAGAGCAAACATTCTCCAGATGCCCTCCCATGTGGCTTTCGGGGCAAAGCATTGATGGCTACAGTGGGCACCTCTTTCATTCTATTTATTTTTAAAGTATATTTTTATTTATTTCAGAGAAGAAGGGAAAGGGAGAGGGAGATAAAAACACCAATGATGAGAGAGAATCTTGGATCAGCTGCCTCTTGCACGCCCCAAACTGGGGATCCAGCCTGCAATCCAGGCATGAGCCCTGACCTGGAATTGAACCGTGACCTCCTGGTTCATGGGTTGACACTCGACCACTAGAACCACATCAGCCAGGTTCAGCATACATCTCTGCTCACTAACCTAACGCTTCCTTCTGGAGTGCTCGTCCCACCGCCTCTGATTCTCCAAAAACTGACTTCGCGTTCCCGCTCTGCCAGCAAACCTTTCCAGGCCCGATTTGAATCACTCTCTGCAGCTGATTCATGTCAGTGTCTGAGGTATCATTTTTACAACCCGGTTGGTTGGGTTTTATTTTGAAATATTAACCCATTCTAGGAGTAGATAAGGTTCAAAATTCAGAAGATGCCAAAGGGTATTTAGGGAAATCTCCTTCCCCTTCCTGATCCCCAGCTACCCATTCTCCCACCTGCCCCACCCCACCCCTTGCCAGATGACACTAGAGTGTATTTATTCTACCAGAGATGCTCCACCATGTGTAAGCATTTCAAACAAATTGTTTCCCGTTTTTCTCCACAAAGACACACGTTACACACACTGTTCCATTTTATTTTTCTTAGAACTGTTTTATGTCAACCACTGAGCCATGCCGAATGGGCAATGGGGTAATTCTTTGTGGGGGTCACCCTAAGGCCCTGTCTGGCCAACTGCGGCTCTCGAGCCACATGTGGCTGGCTCTTTGGCCCCTTGAGTGTTGGCTCTTCCACAAAACACCACGGCCTGGGCGAGTCTAATTTGAAGAAGTGGTGTTAGAAGAAGTTTAAGTTTAAAAAATTTGGCTCTCCAAAGAAATTTCAGTCGTTGTGCTGTTGATATTTGGCTCTGTGAGCTAATGAGTTTGCCGACCACTGCCCTGAGGTATTGTGTGAGAGTCAGTGTGCGGGAAATGTCAGTGTATATTTATCTGACACAGTTGTTATGGAGTGCTGTGTGGGCACCCAGCGAAAGGCCTGACAGCAGCGCCCTCAACCTCTGACAGCACTTCCGCTTCTAGGAATTGATCTTCAGGAAATAATGAAGGCTGTGCCCCAAGATTTAACTACCACACTGTTCTTATCAGCATTGCTG